GGATGTTTCATTAGTAATGAAATTCTGCCTATTCTGTTTTCTGTAGTTCACCTTTGTAGTGCCTAATGTGTCTGAGTAATAATATATAATATAATATGATGTTCATATATTACAAAATAATTAAAAAAAATGTATAATAATTGGAAGATAAGATTTAAATTTAAACCTGCATTGAATCCACATAAGAATAGTTTTAAATCCATATAAGAATAAGTATATAAGTGTAAGATATATTAGGATTCAAAGTAAAGGTTTTTTAACTAACGTAAAATTGTATATGATAAGCTGTTTATAGAACTGTTTTTGATATACCGTCATGACGTTTTCGATTGGTAAATCTGGATTCAATCTGGAGTTACTCTTGATCTGTCAATTTACTCTTGATTTGTTGCCTAATCGAACATTTTTAGAGTATTTTAACATGTTTGTTGTAGTATTAGTAGACATTTATATTTTTCTTAAATACATATATATATCAAATCAAATCACACTTTATTTGTCAAGTTATTAAAAAGAGCTGTTCATTTCAGTGTGATTATGCTGCTCTGGCAAAATACCTAGAGGTGTGTTATGAGTTAATCTCAAGTGTTATGCATTTCGCTCGAGATTTACCAATCGAAAATGAAAATTGCACTAAAAGCGAATTTTGATTGAAAAAGTTACTCCAAATTCGCCAAATAAAAATCAGATAAGGCTATCAATAATGATATGACACTTTGATGTCCCGTAAATATTGTAAATGAATATTTCATGTGCCAAAAATGATCAATTCATTATTGCGTTAAATAGAAGCGAAAGTATATATTTGCCAGAGAATATAATTAAATTATAATTAAAAAAAGTAATGGTCATATTATTTTGTTTTTCTATATTTTTGTTTTTTGATAATTATTATATTACAGAGTATTAATTTAAGTAAGCAAAAAATATATTTATTGTAGTTCTCAACATAAAAGTTTAAGAAACTTTAAATAATATTCCAAAATAACAAATATAAATAAATTTATTTAAGTTTTTGTTTACCATACAATATATACACAATGTATATTACATACAACATTAAAACACAATTTTAGTTATATCTCATTATAACTATGGTTAGGACTAATAAATATGTTTATTATGGATGTTTTGCCTAAAGTAACTATATATGTTTATATTGTTCACATTTGTTTATATCTTAAAAACACTTAAGTAAATCACATATTACATTTTACAACAAATTCTAAAGAACAATCATAACATTTAGTGTGGTTGGTTTACAGAACTAAATTATATTTATATATATACTCGTATATACATATATCATGTATATAGTTACATACATTAACTACATACTACTGCCTATCATTATGTAAACGTTTCGAATATAAATAATATTCATGATAACATATGATTTCGATTGAGTTTATTTATTGATTGAGTTTAACAAATTTGGCATTATTATTACCATTACATAAATCGGTATTAACATTCTATGTGTCTTATTCAAGCACTAAATTCAGATACATATATGAATGTATTCCAGGACTATAAAAAGCACTTTACCGAATATATGAGGCACGTTTTTTACATTCTATTCATTATTTTAAAAATTTAGTTATTAGGATCTTTGAGTTTCTTTATTTTTTTATATAAGAAATGTAATATTCTTTTAAACTTATACTTTATCACCAAAAAAAAATTACTATTTTTAACCTCTCGAACAGTCTTCTCAAAATTTGTCTAAATGAATAACTTTTCCCACTTCGAAGACATCAATTTTATCTAAGTTCAAAAGAAACTTTGTGATATGTTAATGGATCACCAATGAAAGAATGGAATATGAACAGAGCATATAATATATAATGAGCCACCATGTTTTTATAACACATGGGAAGGGGATCGTTAACATTGCTTTAATTTTGAGCTACAAAACTTGCTTTACTATTTTAGGGGCTTACAACTATTATTAAACTAACTTTATGTTAAATTGTTTATATGCGTTAAGCTAAGATATTATTTACATATGCAATGATAATAAAAATATTTTCATTGGAACCTCTAGAATGTCATTGATTATCAAAAGAAAATCTAAAATTTTTTATAAACAAAGATTCTCATGATATTTGCAGTTACTGAGACAAAACAGTTAAAGACTCGGAAATTCCTTCGGAATATAATGATTTAACAATCGAAACAGTCACTACTCTAAGTATATGGAAATTGTTGAAATTATTTTAAACATTCGAAAATCATTATAGAAATAGCCTGACACTAATTTTCTTCTAGCTACTCCAAAAAATAAAATTAGTAATTAATATTGAAATGGTTTAGGTTTAAAATGAGTTCTTGTCATACGTGAAGGTAACGCCATAAATACCGGTTGTTTTTGGCAACGGCCGATAAGCTATATTATGTTCTCTATTTGTACATTTGCGGCAAAAAGCGCACGAGCTCTCTACTAACTAGTTTGTACTATTCTATATGATCTAATATATCATGAAGCCCTTGGCGTTCATATGTTTTGTTAGCTGCAATAAACAATGGGCCTAAAACAATGGAACTGCACAAAAAGTGCACCCGTTACCTGTTCTTTGATCTGCTCTTTTTTTATTTGAGTTTGTAATGTTCTTACCCTAAGCACTTAGCCTTAAAACCATAGCATATTTAGTATTTAGCATATTTGAACGTACAATCATATAATTCGAGAAAAAGGACTCAATAACGGAAAAGCGACTTGTTACTCTTCAAAAAAATTATTTAAACTTTTATACCAGTGAAGTGTGAAAAACTATTTAAAATTATATCCCAACAAAATATGTTATTTTTATATACTTATATTAAAAAATAAATTATATTATAATATAAATATGATCTAATATACTTAATAAATAAAACTCAATAAAATTAAGTAATTAATTAAAGTTCCTTAATTAAAAATCAAAAATTATATTTATTTAATAGCAATTAATTTAAAATATTTATGATACAACTATTTTTATTATTATAATTTTGCTATTATAAAAATAAATAAAGAATAGATCACTGGAGAGTATACTAAAAATAATTCAAAGATGACAAATATAAAGAAACACATGAGTAGAAACTTCAGTGATGAACGGCTTAGTGAACGTTAGGAAATTAATAGAACAGAACTGTTCAAATGATAGGTCAAGAAATGAACAATTTAAACTTGAAAAATATCGACAGACAATACATTATTATAGAATCAAAAATCGTTAAGAAAACATATAGAATGTGTAGTACTGTGATGTTAAATACTGCTTGACAAGAAATATTAAACATTTAATATTCATTTTATTCTCTCTGCGGATGCATAAATAACAAAGAGGGACTACTTTGAAGAAGATGGACATTGAATGAATAATGAAGATTGAATGAAGTATCTGTTGAGATAATCACACATCCCATAATCTTGTAATAAATCTTATATTCGTTATAAAAATACTTGTTTAAGAACATTTTTCAGATGAAAATTAAGTTACTAACTTCAACTATGATGTACTTGGAACTGAGCCTAATGTTATTATTTGGTATGAAACTTAACAATTTCGCAAGAACATTTTTGCGACTTATAAAAGCATTTTTTATGGATTTCATGATTTTCTTATTATAGTACTAAAATATATTTTTAATAATTCATATACCATATTCTTTGCAAATATTATCTTGAGAATCACTTTGCAAATAATGTAAGCTATCCGAAAATTGCTTTCAAAGTTAATATATTCACGTACACCTAGTATTCTTGGTAGTTGTTTTTTTATTACTTAGAAATACATTAGTAATTACTAAACTATTGGTTAAACTTAACAGTACTCGATATTTTCAATGTACGAGGGCAATTCATTTAGTCAATAAACATAAAGGAACACCTTTTTGGTTTTCACTGATTGGTTTAAATTTGTCAATATAATTGATTTTTACTCTAACCATTTAATCATATGGTTTTCTACATTTTCAAGCAACCTAAGGAATTTGATTTTTATAAACCTTTAAAATAAACCTTTGCCTCATTGATTATCTATTCCCTGGCAATAAATATTATTCCTACCAATTAATTATTAAGTCTTGGATATAGAAAATAGTAGCAGGAACTAAATATTTTTGTTTAAAATGTTGAAACAGTTCAAAACATCTGCATTTATGCTATGAATGAAGCCTATAGCGATCCAAGCAGTCATAGTTTTGCTTAAGTTTGTTGGCAATCATTGCTTTTTATTATAACATAGATATTTGGTTTTTAATTTGAAGTTAGGATAGATTAGGTTGGAGTGGCGGCTTTTTGCTCAAAGCCCATTTAAAATCAAATATTGGCCCGTTGTGATACCACGGACTAAATTAGTACTTACTAAGTTGAAGTTAGTTACAATTTTTTTTGTCAAAACAAATATTAAGTGTATAAATTAATGCTATAAGCCCAATTATAAAAAAAAACTACAAATTCCACTTTTTTAATCAATTTCTGAATCAGTGTACCCGATTAAGTCCATTGCTTCAACATTTCATTACTGGTGGTACCTACTCAAAAATTCGTTTAAACGAATTACTCAAATTCATTTATTCATTCTATGATAATATCCAATCATTCGTACAATATGAAATCAATTTGTCTTGTGATATGCTAGTGATAAAATTGTAAAATTTAAACATCTCAAACAAAATGACTCACAAATGTATATATGACTTTTTATATATCTTGATCACTGCCTGGGACTCGTTTTATATTTCTTTTCTATAAAACCACTAATATTCCCCATAACTCTGTACTTTAGTCGTTCACACTTTAGTCGTTCTTTGACGAATTTGCTAAAGACTTATTGACTTGCCCTCGTAGTATATCATACCTCTTAAATTCATTAGCTTATGTTCGTTACAATATGTTTTTAGAGTTATAGTTCACTATGCCTATGACTATTAAATTAGAGTATCTATAATATATAAGTATTGTTTTATTCATACTGCAATAATAGCAAAGTTAAAAAAGAGACAAAAATTAATCATTTAAGTATTACTTCTGCTTATATTAAGCTCCATATGTGTTAAAATAAAAAGTTAAGCTGTACAGCAAATGCAAAACATTCAAAACATCAGTCCTTCTAAAACAGTTTTGTTTGTAATTCTTTCTAAAAAAAATATTCCTCTTTTTCTTCTTCAGCGGATTGAATGGTTTTAACTTCCTACTCTTGTTGACTAACGTCTACAAACTTACGCCTATACTTACAACTATCGTACCGTATATTTCACTATCTCCGCCCTTAGCAAAAAAAAATTTAAAAATAATCTCAACCATAGTTTGTTTCATCACAATTCTATATCCAAATTTGAATTAATATCTAAAAACTTCCCCTGTTTCTTCCTTTAAATTTGCTTCATTAGATCCATTGGTGTCTGTGGGTCTGTAGTACTGCCACCAATCTCAGCGCTTATATCACCTATTGATGTCACCGCTGTTGCAACGGTTGTCATTGCTGCGCTTAAAATATCCGGAATGCTAGCAACAGTGGACATAATATTAGCTATTGTTGTGGCGAGAACTGTAGTGGATTGTGTTGTTGTTGCGGCCAACATTGTTGTGGGTGTTGTTGCTGGAAATACTGATGCCGCTTCAGTTGTTGGAAATAAAGTTGTCATTGTTGTTGTGAAAAGCGCTGCAGCTAAAGCTGTAGAATTCATTGTAGTAGACGCTGGTGTTGTTGTGGTAGTTGAAGTGGTTGTAGACGTCGTCATGTGGTCCACATATGGAAGAGTTGGGCATGGAGGATATGTGGGGTACCCTAACATTGCTTCAAAAATATAACCAATCAGTGATCCAACTGTGAGACCCACATTGTAAGAGAGGGTCATCATGTTGCCAGTGACTTCTTTTAATGTGCCTGGTACTTTGGCTGGTGCCAACATCATAGGTAAGCTACCAGCTAATCCATTACTTAGACCTAGCGCAATTGTGAATACGAAAGCAGCTGTATCACCTTTTAATATAAAGAAAAGAAATAAATGTTTGATAAATAATTGTAGCTTAGTAAAAATCTTACCTGATACAACTGGCTGATGACGCGGCGCACAGCAAAGTAATAACAAGGGAACCAAGACTACTCTCAATCCTGACATCAAAATCAATTGTCTGCGCGACCATGCATACGGTACAGCTGCTAAAATTTTTCCAATGACATCAGAAGCATTAAAGGCGAACATAAGTAGCACTGGCATCCAAGTACCCAGTGTGCAAGATACAATCTCTGATTCGATGCCAGGGTAAAGAGAGAGTGTAACAGCGTATGCCAATGCGATGCAAACCATATAAGGGTAAATGGCATGAGCGACTCGCCAACGAAGCAAAAACCCATTTCTTACATCACTCCATTTACTGGGAGTGCATGCAGATGGAGTTAAAACATGCTCAACTTTAAACGCTACTGTAGTTGGTGTTGCTGGTTCTTGCGGTGTGCTCGGTATGTCCGGTAAGTTGTTGAGACCATCAATAACACTTTCTCCAGCTGTTGGATTGGATAGCTCATATACAGGATTGCTAAAGCTAAGAGCTGTGTTGCCGTTATTAATTTTACTTGCTGATGGACTTGTCGATTCCACGGAAAGGACACCATACTTAGCTGAAGTTGAATCGACATCTACTTCATTCTAAAAGCACATAATAAATTTTTGAAATTTGTTATGTAATATTGTGAATTGTTAATTATATAATATATCAATTTACCAAACGAGATTCATCGGGACGCAAAACAATCACTGCACATGCTTTCATATGATACCGCACAAAGGGAGAATTCCTCGTAGCCAAGTAAAGCATGTAACTGAATACTACGTAAAATGTTGATGTAAAAAAGAATATCATTGTTGACACGTCATCATTTTTTATGAGCAATTTAGTGACAACTCTATTGGAAGAAACCAAAAATCCGGCAATACTCTCACCAGCCATAACTGCTTGAGTATATTGCTTTGGCAACATGCTAGCAAATCCATAAAAACTTGATTGTTGCACTGGAATTTATAATGGATTAACAAAAAAAAATTCATAAACATTTTTTGTCTCATAAATCTGTACTCACCCGTGCATCCCACAGCTACTAAACCAACAGCTACCAAGTTAGTTGAGTATGCGAAGCTATCCGCAAATGCATGCCATCCCACCTCGCAGAAAGCCACATAACTTAACGTCGTAAACGAAATAAGGAAGCCAAATAGGACACGTACACGAAATGGTGCCAGGGTGAGGAATACATTGTTGAGCAGCACAGTTGTGAAGGCTACGGAGATATATGTCATTGACATGTCCAGCGCTACAGTGCGCTCAGGGAATCTCACTTTCCAATAATCGGCAGCTATGATGAAACTGAAACAATAAAAAAATACAAAATGAATGACGTCAATTGATGATTTGCGGAATAGAAATGGTTTGCATGTCAGGAAACAATTTGCAATGATGATTTGAATACTCTTCCCATAATTTGTATAACATTTTTCACTTAATTCTTGTATTCATGTGTTGTTATTGTGAAACATTTCTGACCAAGAAAATGTTTTCATCTTTAGTATGAAGAGAGTAAAACGAAATAAGGCACTACAACAAAGTGTGTGCTAAATTATCACTACTTTTACAAAAATTATTTTTGAAGAGCAATAATGTCTAGTAATGGCATAGGCAGTGGCTTAACTAGGATTGTGCCAAGGGGGCGTTATACTAGGAACATTTTTTGGCAATGTTTTTGCAGTTTACACAGTTTTTGCACGACACTGGATATAACTAATAAATATAATTAATATACATTAAGACCGAAAAGTTTTCGGAAATTCTCATTTAAAATTCGCGCGCTGTATATTTTTCGATATTTTAAGTTTATGTAGTTTGGCAGCACTGTCCTTAATTACTATGCCAAAAATGAGCGCGATCTGTCAGACAGTTCGTTTATCGGCAGCTGTTGAAACCAGTTCACCTCAGTAGTGCGTTGCGAAAAAAACAATGGAAAAAAATATTGAACAAAGAGTTTGCATCAAATTTTGTGTTTCGAACGAAATTTCGTGTGCAGAATCGTTGCGAATGCTACAAAAGGCTTATGGGGAATCAGTTTTATCGAAAACTCAAGTTTATGAGTGGTACAAAGCCTTTCAGGACGGTCGTAAGACCGTCGAAGACATTTCGCAACGCACTACTGAGGTGAACTGGTTTCAACAGCTGCCGTAAACGAACTGTCTGACAGATCGCGCTCATTTTTGGCATAGTAATTAAGGACAGGGCTGCCAAACTACATAAACTTAAAATATCGAAAAATATACAGCGCGCGAATTTTAAATGAGAATTTCCGAAAACTTTTCAGTCTTAATGTATATCTTAATAACTTCTAAGCCTTCTAATAGTTCAATTAATATATTAAAAATTTAAGATACAAAGTTATGAAAGCTGAACACTGGTTCAGTAAACCCGCACACATATTACTTAATATCTATTAAGTACAATTAACCAATAGTAATAAATTAACTAATAGTTAAGATTGTACTACTCATATCCAATAAAGGACGTTTTTTTAAAAACGATGCAAAAAGGTGCAAAGTGCGTTCCTAGTCTTAGGAGAGCAACCAAAATGTTACGAACTACTCCTTACTAAATACCAGGACTAGTCGATGATAACTGCATCAAATAAATTTCAGAATGACTTTTGTAATATTTTTTTTTAATTAACTTAATTTTAAATATTTGTTGTGGAAATTACTTCCATAATATGGGATCATCTATTTATCTGACAGTTTTTTCACAAGTTTCGGTAAAAAAGTAGAAAAAAGAATTTCGAGTGTTATGGGCACATTTAAAAGAATCATCAAGAAATCAAAAACAAAATCAACGAATAATTTAAAAGTGCTTTTTTGGGTCTCGAAGAAGAAGATTTTCAGCAAGATTGATATGATTATTATGTATTATTATTAAAACTATTGTCGGGAAATCGCCCAACAGCTGGTAATGAGGCCAGACGAGTCCTATTATACGAAAGATTGAAAATTTACTCAAGCAATATTTGAAATTAAATCAACTGTTGATTTTATTACTTTATTTGTTACTATAGATGAGACATAGATGTAGCACTATACCCAGAAAAAAGGAACTGTGGAAATAAAAATATTCAAAAGACTGCAAAAAGCGTTTCATAATCATAAAAAGGTCACTACTTCTGTTCAGTGTGATGCCAATGGTTATTTATGATTGATAACCTCAAAACAAGCAAAATAATGATATTATATGGCGCTTTTACATTACCTAGTGACAAAGGACAATGTACAACTAGCTTCTGCGTTAGCAATTACATTAATAAAATTATGTTATAAAATTATATTATATTATATAATAACAAGTTCTAAGCCTGGTACAAGTTCTTAACCTGGCACTTGCAGTCCAAACAAATTATATACGGACCTAAAACCACTGATGATGAGTACTTGGCAATACTCGAAACAGCGTTGTATGGTCAGTCAAATTTCAATAAAATTAAATTAATTTTTGTGTTTGTCTTTTCTTTCTTTCTTTGCTATTCGAAAACCCTCTAAATTATATAATAACTTTATTTTAAAATTATATTATGACATTCATCATAATAATATATCGTTATTATTTCCATTCATTCATAAATCCAAATATCGACAAAAAAAATACCCATGTCCAATGTATGGGTTGTTATAAGCTTGGTACGTAATTTATTTATCCAATAAACGAAACATAGCTCTATGGCACATCAGTTTCAAAATGAATCAAAATATAGAGTGGTTTTTCCATAAGTAGAATGAATCTACTAATTTATGGTTTTTTTCCATGTAAAATTTCTAATTAAAATCTATTAAGTCAATTTGAAATTAAAAATTAAGATTTATATTAAATTAAGATTAAGATAAATTAAGATTCATTTGAATAAGATATTCCATTCATATGCAAATAATTTTTTAAACTCTTGATATGATCATAGTGCAGAAACAAAATTTCTCTACCAAAAGCTTTATATTGCTAGGAACCAAACTATCCATATATCTACATGACTAGATAGCACTCGAGACATGCGAGTGCGACCAATTCTACTAGGTCCTTAACGACTATATTCTAAGGGTATTTTTGTGCTGTACATAATTTCTTTTTGAATCGTATGGTCATCGCCACTATCTTTTTAGTGTATCAATTTCTATATATTCTCATAGGAAATGGTTATTGTGCAGAATATAATTTATTACATATCCAGTTTTGATACTTACTGACAAATATTTGGAGTTTATGACGAAGGCATTTGGTTACACATTGTAAGTTCTCGTCTGGAAAAGCAAGCAATATTGCTTCACTGTTCGTATAATCTTTTATTTTTAATTGCAGACACATTGTAGACTTTGCTAGTGCTAAATACACTAAGATATCATTACTTGTTCTTTCCTTTCTATTTTAATTATATGCGACTCTGGGTCCGTGATATTTAGACGTATTATTTTTTTTTCTTATACTTCGTTTTAACACTGATACTATATATCTAAGTGTTAGCAAAAAAGTTTGAACTTAAAACTCAATGATCTTAAATCTATAATGGTAAATAGGCTGCAGATTCATGTAAAAATTTGGTCACAAATTTATGTTCTGAATTTAAAATATAAAAGAATCTAGATTCAATAGCATAAATAAAATTGTTTTTAAGTGTAAGAGTTATGAACCAGTTTTTAGATAAATAAAATTGATATCTTCTAACATTTTGTTGTTAATTATAATTAAGAATATATACCTCCCATTTGATCACCCTTTACTTGTGAAAAATTGAAGAAATATAATTGTAATAAAACATCTAATTTCTGTAATAAATATAACGTTTCATTCGACAGTATCTATGCCTGTGAAGACCATGACTACTATATCTACACCTCAAAAAGTTTTGAAAGGTTCATCACTTTTTTGTACCTGAAATATATGCTGGATTCACACGAGAGTTTTGTTTGTAATTTTAGCTGTCAAAAATATTTATTTTGCATTGAAAATAACAACAATTGACAACAAATATTTCAAACATAACAGCTGACAGCTAAAATTACAAACAAAACTCTCGTGTGAATCTTGTATTAGGATTACATGTCATTAAGCTTGTCATTTCGCTCACTGTGCAACGAGCAGTGACTTGAACTCTACGAAATGAAATATTTCCTAATAATACAAGTTCATTCTAAAATCATTTATAGAGAACATAATATTGAATCTTTATTTAGATATTTTAATATAATGACATTTATAAATAGTGCTTTGGATTATCTAAAGTTAAGTCAATATTTGCTTAAGTGTTTTTATTGATCGTGCAATTCTATTCACTTTCACTTTGACTTTTGCCAACACAATCAAGTCATGTGAATAAAACAGTGTTTTAGAATGGATTTTTCCACTTTTGTAAAAGATTTTGAAGTAATATGTATTATTAGTTCCTAATCCAGCTAGAAATTTAATAAACAAATTTTTGACTTAACATATGTTTACTAAAGTTTTCGAATTTTATTTGTTAGATGTGACGTAGAATACGTCACGCAATAATTTCTAAATAAGTAAACGAAAATCTCCATGTGGCTTTATTTACCTGTTCGGTACTCGCATTCTGCGTAAATAAATTTTGAATTATAACTTAAAGAACAGCTAAATAAGCACTTAAAAATTTAGAATTTGTTTTATTTTTTATTTAGTATTTGATTGAAAAATACCGGCGTCATTTTATATAAATAGATCTATTAGACCAATAATTTGATAGAAATTAATTAGCCACCTTCATAACAACTTCTAAAGATATGAAATTCAGTTTGTTAATTGTTTTTGCCATTTTGGCTTTTTTGACTGTATCGACTTATGGTCAAGACGATACCCTATCAATATCAGAAGAAACTACCGCATCTCCACCCACTGCTGATACTACTGCAACCGTATCACCTACTGAAGCTGCTTCCACCGTAACCGCTACTAATGCTTCACCAACTGAAACAGCTAGCACGAGAGCACCCTGCAAACCAGATGGGCACCATAGACATCGTGGTGGGAGAGGTGGACGTGGTGATAGAGGAAGGCACGGTGGCAGAAGAGGACGTGGTGGTAGAGGAGGAAGCAGGGATCGTGGCAGCCGTGGCAGTAGGGGTGGCAGAGATAATCGTGGCAGACGAGATGGCAGGAGCAGTGGTAGACAGTGGGGCCGCGGACGCAGAAACTAACTAAATTACTTTATTTTGATGAACTAATAAAAGACATATATAAATATTTTACTGAAAATATTTGTAATTATTCTTATGTTCAATGCGTTAAGAATCAATAAAGTTTTGTTTCTACTTTTAATTACTTTTAATCAATTAATTATTCTTATAGTATAAAATATTGATAAATAACTAAATATCATAAAAATTTATAACAAACTCAAATTACTTTTTGCAAATTACTTTAATATTTTCGATATAACCATTCCCATTGGCCACTGTAGTTGTTGTTTGTAATTTATTAAAATTAAATAATTAGTTTTAATTACGAAACATTTCTTATGTTTTAACAAACTCTTCCTTAAACTGGAATGAATCCCATCATTAGGTAAAAAAATTTAACCTTTCTACAAAAATAGCAATCTTAATTTGTATTATACTATAATACATCCATAATAATAATAATAATATCCAAATGCCCATAATACGAGGGTCACTATTTATATTTTAAGCCTAATAATGAAAAATTAATAACATGTCGTTGAAAATTGTTTTATTGTTTCTCGAAGTATTCTCCTTTATGATTACTTGGTCGCAGCACTTAGAACAGTGCGCATCGCAGCAAGTGGATGGGCACTTGATCATAGGCCACGGACCAGAGCGTTTCAACAAGAAGCATATAGGAAGGTAATAACTTAATTTATAAAGTAGATTCTGATTCCTAACAACGTAGCCCTGTGGGTAACGTTGATTCCTAACCTAGCAGCGTAGCACAGTCGGTAACGCTGATTCGTAGCAATGTAGTCCTGTCGGTAAAGTTGATTCTTAACCTAGCAACGTAGCACAGTTGGTAACGCTGATTCCAACGTAGCCTTGTCGGTAACGTTGATTCCTAACCTAGCAGCGTAGCCCAGTCGGTAACGCTGATTCCTAGCAACGTAGCCCTGTCGATAACGTTGATTCCTCTAATCCTCTATATTTGTAATTTTAGTAGTTTTTTTTTCGAATTAGAAAATTTTTGAATATAATTTTTAATATTTGAATATAAATATTGTAAAAATTTAATTTGTAAAAGGAATATATAATAAAGGAATTAAAATAAAAATAGCCATTTTCCTTTATTATTATTTGACGGGAAGATTTGGGATTACAAAGAAATTTTCTTGTAACAACCCTTGGATCCGGCGACTGAAACCTCGGCGGAAAGGTTCTTTACAAAGCATTTTGCTTTTTTATTATACGACGGAAAGATTAAGGGTTATAAAGAAATTTTCTTGTAATAACCCTGGGATCCGACGAGCGAAACCTCGGCGGAAAGGTTCTTTTCACTTTTGCATGCGTTCAAACTATTTGTGAAAGCATTTTTTCCAATGTTTTCCAGATACCTCCAAAACATGGTTTTTAAATGTAACAACGACAAAAGTCGTTGTCCACACAATTTAATATTGTTCTTAACGTTTGGGAGCAAGAAAAAGTCATTGGGTCCCACATCAGGACTGTACGGTAGATGACTCATCAATTCGATTTCTTGAATGTTCAAATACGAGTAGTCGGTTGTTAGACAATAACATTATTCATCGCATTATTCTGATGGAGATGAAGAATGATCCGACGTCGCTTTTTTGTTTTCATTATTTCATTGAAGACTTTTTATAAACAAATACCATTCGAAATTGACCGTTTTACGGTGCTGGAATGGTATAGTTGCTATATGATCAGTTTTCCTGAAAAAACAAGCGACCATTTGTTTCAAAGTACTTCGAGCTCGAACAACTTTTGTTAGATTTGGTTCATCTTGACACACCCATTAAGTTAACTGCTGTTTACATTCTGGCTCATACGCATGTATCCATGATTCGTCACCTGTTACAATCTTTAAGAATACTGTTGGTACAAAAGGAACAACTGGAAAACTGAAATACTGTTGTAACCTGTTTATTGCCGGCATTTTTATTATCTTTTATTATTTCATTTCTTCATCCGAAAAAAAATGTTTTTTATTTATTTATTATATTATGTTATTTTATACGTAATAGCAGTTATATATCTCAATTTAAAGTTTACCATTTCTTTCAACACCAGGTGCTCTGAACGTTTAAAATCAGACCATCTGTTCCAATTGATGGAACAAGCCTTAAACCCGTTACATTACTATTGTTTATATTTTCGAATAGCTTTTTTAATACATGCAAGAATCAATTTAATTTTTTGAATCAAATTAAATAATTTATGTGCTTTGCTTTACACTTTCAAGCTAACTCTATGTACTTGGGACCTATTTATAGACTAAACTCTTTCACACGGAAATTGGAATTGTTTGCTTGAAATGTGGGTTGAAAAATATTAAAATTTTGAGTTCTTGCGCAATAGAAATTAATAAAAAAAATACCAGATGTTTACTTGCAAAAAAAAAATCAGTTATTCCCTTAGCCCGCTTTTCAAAAAAGCAAGCATATAATCTAAGATGCTTACCTGTTATAAGGTAAAACGAAACCAATACCCGCTGCCAACAATGCTAAGTAGACTGCATGTTTTTGATCAGTAGGTGCACGGCCGTCTGTATCTGGACTGTCCATAGGTTCATGCCTATTATTCATTCCACGACCTTCTAACGGTTCATAGTTATTAGCTTGAGTAGACTCCATGTTTTGGTGAGGTTTTTTTAAATAAATCTAAAACGGCTTAAATATTTACTAAAAATACACACAACCGAGTTGGAAGAACTTGTTTCTCCAATTTTGCTTTGATTTCGTATTGGTCTTTTCGATATGTGTGTTATCCTTTGATAATCAAACTTATTATTAATTTTCACTTCAACATTTGTTTTCAATTTTCTAATTTTAGTGTTTCGTTCTATTTTGAGCACTAATTTTCAGGTAAATTTTTTATATTATATATTTAGGCACTTCCATGGGGTGTTGTCAGTTGCAATAGCGATTAAATCAATATACCAATGTATATGAGTTAATATATGTAAAATAAAGCCCGCATCCTTTTATAAAAGATTTTAGTTGGATTGAGAAGTATATGAAACTGAACAACTTGAATTATTTAAGCATTTTCCTTACGTTGTTATATTCCTATTCCAAATAACACTTAGACTTCATACGATACACTTTCCGACTTAGACAAATTAGCGATTTCCATAATAATTTAGAACATTTACCGGCGACGTTATAACTTATATTTAACTAACGTTATAACTACGGTGTCTTAATAATATTTCGATATTTTATTTTGTGAATAAATTAAATCAATTCACTCTCGAATAATGTGCAAACATTTTTGTTGTGATGTTGAAATCAGTGTTAAGGAATTTTCACTAACGTTCACTTTGCGCATGTTTAGGAAAATTGATTTTCCTTCGGTGTTCTAACTGTCAAAATCCATTTGGTTGTTGTTGAAACATTGGAGAGTTTTTCTTTGATATATGCTTTCACAAAGAAAAAGAGAACTTGAATTCTTGACTTTATTTTACTCCCATAATATATACCTTTTTTTCCATTCTTTTATAAGGTATCAATCATTAAATTCACAAATTTGAATAAAACCCTATAAAACCTGCATTTAACTTTTTAGCTCTTCAGGTGTAAGAAACCGTATACCGATCTTCAAACCCCAATGATAGATTTCGCCTATATAGTAGAGACAAATGAATCAGTATGTTTTCTTTCGGTATTATACTTTTTGTTTACTTTTTATTACTATACTTCAAGTTATTCTTTTCTATTATAAAAAAGATCCACTTCTTATGATGTCTGTGTATTTATAGACCCTTATCTACATTATTTATTGCCTCATTTTGTTGGCCGTGTCCATTATGAGACTTAGGCTGTCATTAAGAGACGGCTTATCTCTTATCATGGCTGGTTTATCTCCGTTAATAGCTGTAAGCTGTAATATATTTCGATTTCTTACGAAATTTCTTACGCTAAATACTCTAATCCACTAATTACGTTTTTTTGTATTATTATTATATCATTGAGCTTAATTCTATCAAATATTTTTATAATATCCGGAAAATAGAGAAACAATGCTGTGTTGTACATTATACTCTGGTGCACTTTGTTGGACTCTATAGCTTTTTCAGCAATTTATCTTACGATAAACCCGTGTAAAAATATTGTTAGCCTGCGTGGGCAGATTCGATACTACCTCTTAGGGATTTATTTTTACTGTTTTAGGACGGTATTGAGTAAAGTCATACGCCACCTTCTTATTCTGTGTCTCCCATTTTGAAAAAGAAGATGATTGTTGTTTTTCCATTCTTTTGAAACCGTTTTGTTTCAATTTGTCTCCTTTATTCATAGCCTCTCTTGTCTGGTTTTTGTGAAGACTCTTCAGTCTTTTTAAAGTCTTTTTGTTGTATTGAAAGCAACAATAATTTTGATTTTGATGTGCCCGTGATACTCTACATAACATGGGCCTTACTGAAAAGAAGTACATATAGATACACACAGTGGCGACGCTAAGCGTCAGCGGCTTCGCGCCTACTGGGGCCTCGTTACCGACTGCCGATTCAAAGCACTTGATGGATATTTTGAACAATTTGATTTTATATGTGGCATTAATCATATGAAAAGTATTCCTTGCATTGTAATGCTTTAGGTATAATTTAGCCTATTGAACTGTATGACGAACAGCTGCTTTTAAAATTGAACTCACTAGACTCAATCAACAATATAAAATAACTCGTCCGGTATATTACAGAAAATAATTTAAAGGAAGTATATCCAAATGTTTTTATAGTAACCAGAATAATGCTCACAGTTCCAATCAGTACAGCTTCTGCTGAAAGAAACTTCTCAAAGTTAAAATTGATTAAGATCCACTTGAAAAGTATGATGAGCCAAGAGAGACTATCTCCACTGGCAATTCTATCAATTATAGCGAAAATAGCAGGTGTTGCGAATTATGATATAATTTGATAAACATATAATGAGGCTAAAAAGTATGATAATTCATTTATTTTAAATTACGTTTATTTTAATTTGATTATCAATAAAACTTTCATACATGCTTCGTCGTATTAGTGAATGTAAATTTTTTATTTGATAACTTTGGGTAATGAAACGGCCCTCGCAATTCTGATGTCGCCGACGTCCAGAGTTGGTCTAGCTCCGCCACTGGCTACACACAAGTACTTTCTACCACAGAACTTTTAAGTAAAAGCAAGCGATTAAGAGAGCGTAACATCCCTGTCGAAATGATAGAATACACAAATTTTACTTGAGCAATTTTCTTTCCAGTAAAATTTGTGTTGATGTATGTGTGTCGAAGTGTCAGCTGTTTTGGTTTGAATTTGAATTTAATTTATTACTGTTAGTTTTAATATTTGAAACAAAACCAAATTTCAAATTAAATTTATTCTAAAATATTAATGGCTACACAAAGCTGTTCCTTGGGATTATGCTTCAGTTTTAAAACTGAAGTAGCTATGCTGTAAGAAATTAGCAGAACTCTTCTACCAAAAACTTAGAAATATAAAGACATGTAATTTAGTTCTATTAAATCAAACATAAAAATTTGATGTCGACACTGTGTGTATCCAACACGTCCAAACAATTAATAAACATGTTGAACACATCGTCTGCTTTCGTTGGGTATAATAAGTTCTGAACTATCAACTACTTAATTTCCGATACTAACTTTTTCGATTTTGCTGTTAACAAAAACGCTTTTTTCTTTCCGTCAACAATGTCGCTAATTATGGTCACAATCAAATTGTGAAACTCGGTATTTGCACAATTTGAGAGTTCATCCTCGTCGCCAATGTAATACAAAACAGTGTTGCCTCTATTCGTCAAAGCATTTAATAAGTATCGAACACTATCGAACTTATTATTTCATATATGATCACTAATGGAGTCAGCAATCAAACCAATAGCAAACACAACATACTCTACGTAGGCAAAACTATATAGAAGAAACTCTAATGTTAGAGCAAATGCATACATAGTTCCTGGTTCATGCGTACGAAAGGAGTCAAAGAGTCTTGGCAAAGACGAAGTAAAGTTTTTTAGGACTGACTGGACAGCCAAACAGCAACAGCACTATTTCTACTATTGTTTCTTATTGCACATTTACTAAATGTTTTTGTATACAAAGGTAGTTCTTCCAAATTATTTAACGGTTGATTTTTGATGAAATACTATACTGGCTTCATACAAAAAAATGAAATTTGTTTATTATGAATATGAAATATAATAATATAATATATAACATTTTGACTTACTTAGTAAAAGTATAGGTATTGCGCCAGATTTTATGCTCTTTGTCCCAATATAAGAAGTATCATAATGACGCCTACCTACTTGAATACTGCTATTAATAGAGTCACATTTCAATTTAACATTATAGCAACACGCTTTAAGCAAAGTGGGGTTATTGTCTGGAAAACGAAATAACCCGATATCATTATGATTTTTACTGCCAAAGTTCACTATGGATCAGTCTACTAAATGTTTAAGGGATATCAAATATATTTAATAAAATATTTAATTATTTATTTAAATATTAATAAAAATTTTTTATAAAGAGGTTTTCGAAAATAAGTGAACTACAACAACAAAAATTCTTTTTTTATATTTTTTTTATTAAGTAATTGAATTTTTGGCTAACTATACAGCTGTTTCGAGTATTGCCAAATACCCATCATCAGTGGTCTTGAAATTATTTCTTGTATAAAATTATTCGTAAATAAATTTTTAAGACTGCAAGTATCAGGAATCGTATTTGTGCCCTGCCAATTTTGAAGCTTAGAGTCAGCACTCGTTAACCAACTAACCCAAATCCATACTTGACTTTTATGTTCGCATAAATTTCTGAAGTTTTGTTACTTTACTATGAAAGTTTTATTAACAAATTCACTTACTGTGTTTATATTAGAGCGAAATCATGAACCAGCTGTAAAATAATTGAATAAATAATATTTTTTATTTTTTAATTGTTAAATTTCAATACTTGTCTGTTTGTATAGGCATTTTTTGTTGCATGATTTGTTTCTTTCATGACTTTCTTATGTATAGAACCTAATCTAGAAACGTAATGCTGAGAAAGTCATGCTAATGTTACTCTTAGTCGCACGTGCGAGACCAATATTTTGTGAATATATGTAATTCACTACTTTCCGAAAACCTCTTTATGAAATATACTAGTATCTATTAATTTTAAAACTTATTTTTGAATTTAAGAAAGATTTGTAAGCGATCACGGTTGCAAAACTAATGAAATCCAAACGTTTTGGTTTCTATTACTGTTATTATTATTATGGCATGTTCTGTGTAAAATTTGATTGTAGAAACTTAGCCTATTCGCAAAGAGTTTGTACAAAAGTTTTCCAATTTTGCCTATTTCGAGCGATATACCTCAGTTCATTTATCGATTTATTCGTATGAATATTTGAGGTTCTACGCCAAGAATTGCGTGGTCGTCCTCGGATTCTAATGTCTTGGGGATTCCAGGTTAGTGCCGTATGTGCTACTTCATTTGTGCTTCTTCGTAACGTTTTTCCAATCCACTTATATTTCCAGATGTTTTACAGATCTAATGTTTTTATTTTTTTAAATACATCAAATTAAATTCTATAGGAACTTATAAAACTCAATTGAATTAAATATTTGGTTTAATATTGATACAATATATTGGATTTTTCATGCAATAATAAAATAAAATTTTAAATATTTATATTTATTTATATTTGTTTTTGGAATGCTTCATTTCTTAAAAGCAATAAAATAGCAATGTTATAGTTTCATTGATAAATTTTTACAAAAACTAATGTGTATACCATTGAAAACCGAAATAATAAAACAGTTTCAAACAAATACTTAATATTATTTTGCTTTGCCTAGTAAAGCTTCCATATTAACAACAATTCCAAATGCATGATCTATTCTTTCTTGCGTTAACAGAATTATATTAATTTCTGTTTTTTTTTTGTAGTAGGTGGAAAGCATCGAAAGTCATAGTGTGAGACTTGAACCCACTAAAATCAACTCTTAGGAACGAATGGAGAAGATTTCCACAGCATTGAGAAAACTTGGAATTAAGTTTTCTCAATGTAATCAGGGGAGAGATATGTGAACAGAAATTAATCTCTGTGTTAATATCATTCTAACAAATATATGCCTAGCATCGAGGATATGTGGATTGTGTTGATTGACTACAGTAAATTATTGTTGCGAACCTCTTAATGGTCCATTTGAGCAAAAGCTTTAAAAATTTAAGAGCGAACTGCAACAACTTATAGCATTTATTATTTTTGATATTTGTTATTTCCGAAGAACCGCTAATTGGAACTTTTACAGTGCATTGAACTGAATTGCATATTTTTTGATTTATTTAAGATTTATTCAAGCAATTGCATTATTGCTGCGGTGTTCTTATTAAACAAAAATCAAAAAAAAAAGGTAATTAAATTAATTTAAAAATTATCACAGCTGCAATTAGTGTTATGAAGAAAAAATTAATCATTTTAATTAAATTTTAGTGTCATTAAAAAAATGTTACAAGACGAAAGCTTCCCACATGATGAAATTTTGGCCGAGACGACGTTTATGCAAAATGTTCAACTTATAGACAAATCAACAAATGAACGACCAACATCGGCTTTGAGCAGTAATTCTGCAAAGAGCGACCCAACTGGCTTGGCAGGTGCGTCTTTATAGTATTTATTTCAGAAAGAAATAAATGAAGTTTAATATCCGTTCAATGTTTTAGAAAATACACCGGCCAATCAAAATTGTGGGCAGAACAAAGCTGTTTCCTACAATGATGTACACTCAGCATATACGAAACGCCGCTACAAACATGTCACGAGCAAAGTGCGTGAATATATAAACAATCTTAAAACTGAAGATCAGACGCGTCAAAACTTAAATAAATTAAAGAGGCACTGTTCAGTACCTGAAACATCAGTTTTACTTGATGCAACTACCCAAATAGCCGCAGCCACAGGTACACGAGGTGGCATTATGAGTTACAGTGCTGGCGAATTACACAAATCAGACGAAAGTAATCTTCGCATTACTCATTCTTTAGAAACTTCAACTGGGATTGCATCGGGATCGAGACCATCATCTTCCGAAGGTCAGCATGATTCCAGTGACGACGCCGCTATCGACAGAAATTATACTGATTATTTAACTAGTGAAAACGAGCGGTTACAATCATATAACGAATATCAGCGGACAAAACTGCATGAAAAAAATGGTGAAATAATACGTCTACGCCAAAGTGTTGATTTTTTACGATTTGAATTGAATAAATGTGAAGACAAGCTTAGAAAGCGTGATGATAGGTTAGGCAGTAAAGGCGCACTTCATACATTGATTCAGCAGTCGTTACATACAATACCACTTTATGATTACACTGACACAAAAAGTAATAAAGCAATACAGACTGATTTCATGGTACCACATACACCGCAAAACACGCCCATTAGTATTCTTATTACACCTGACACGCCTGATACCAGTAGAAATACTAACGAAACACTCGATGAAAACGATAATGTTTGTTTAGAAAATGTGAATCCGAATAGAAAGAGAAAAAGACGTTACTTACGTCGACGCTGGCTCCAATTGTTCATCCCCTGTACGAGGTGCAATAACCCAAATCAAAGTGAGGATAGCATCATACAGCAGACATTTGCACAGATACCGCTTTTGGAAAAAAGCTTCGAACCCTGCGGCAATATGCGTTAATACCCATTTAACCTGAAATGTGCTTCGGTGGTGGCCAGAAACCACTAAAAATGTTTTAGCAATTTTTGTCATATTGCAAAGATTAAATTATAAGCATTTTTTGTTTTCCTATATTAGTTATTATTTTGTTTTGTTTTTTCTTCGGTGATCGGTACGGTTCTATTGTGAAAAAAGTGCGTGTCATATGAAAATGTTATTTTTTTAGTATAATTATTTAATATTTGTAAATGTATTATTTCAATAAGGAAATTACGATTTTTTTTTTTCGTTCACTTATGTTATTATGTTTATTATTCCCGTGTAACCATATATAATAAATTATTTATTTAATATTATTTTCTTTGTATTATTTTAAAAACTTATAAATGTTGTATTTTAAAACGATTCTAAAATGTAGAGGAATTTATCATATTTATTTTGAATCCATAGAGAAACGCAAAAATTAATATACAATTTTTACAAAAATAAAATAATACATTGAGAACGCAAGCAAAATACAGTAAGACCCCGCTTAATGGGTAGGATACGTTCCATCAAACGAGGTCTTACTGTACATACAAATCCAAAGCTAGAAACAAGAGAAATAAAAAATTCTTTAATATTAATTGGCATGTTTATAACAATGAACCTTAAGCGATTTCATCCTGAATTAACTCAATTCATAAACTCATTTTATATTCGTTAGTAGTTAACTTAACTTTAAAATTTGACGGTGATCCCCAGAGAAGAATTCACTTACAGTATATAGTGGACTGACTATGCATTTGCCTGAAGGCACGGCGGGAACAAGGTGTTCGAATAATCTGTTTATGTTTTAGATTTTTTTAATTTTATTCAGTTTAAACATTTTTTTTTATTTCTGAAAGAAAAATTGTTTTTTTTGTCTGTTACTTCCATAGTGTTAGGATATTATTATCTGGAAATTATTTTTATTTTTTTTTTATTTAACAATATGTCTGTATTGAATCGCTTTAAATTAAAGCTTAACAATTAGTTTTAGGATCTTAAAGACTATTAACATTACATTACAAATTATTTTATATAAACATACTATAATGAGATATATAATGATTTATAAATTATTCCAAGGGACCACTGAATAAGAAGCTAGGGCTTATTTACCAGATATAAAAATAAAAAAAAATTCCAATTTAGAATTGTTATTAAAACAAACTTTTATCAAATGATATTAAAGAGTTCACAACTCTGAATAGAACTATGCACGATGTTTAGATATAATCGTAAACAATTAAGTTCCTTCAGTGTCATACATTAGTGTCACATTACAATAGTCTATTGCTCCATGCCTCTCTCCCTGTCTCATTTTAGTTATACTTAATAGATCTATATAATAATACTAAAATACCAATTAATCTATACTATATATTAGCAAATACCTAAATAAACTTAAGTATCTGGCCATTACTTAAAGAAGCAAACAAATAAATTAATACTCGTACCAGTGTAAGCGAAGAGCAACAAATGATCATTAAAGACACCAAAATGATCATTTCAAAAAATAAGATAATTATATAAACACGAACCTTTATTCCATAGTATTGGGTCTATCATTTCTTCCTACTTTATATCTGCGTTAATTAAGTATGTTTTTATTCCACAATTTTTAGATTAAATTGCATGGCTTTATTGAGAAAACCGCTGTTTCTTAGATAAGCTGTGTTTCACAATAGTTCAAGCATCCTTTTATATAACCCAAGCACTCAACGAAATTGTTTTTAGTGTATGTTGTTATATATATTATTTATAAGATAGTTACTTATATCACTACAGTGTCACTATGGTTAATAAGCCAACTGGAGTCTACTTTTCCTTTTGTTCCCATTTGAATTGCTCGTTACTGCAGAATATGCTAGTGTTACTCTTGTTTTATTCCTAAGTTTTTTGACATTATTCATAAATTCAAAATTAAGAACTACATAGAGGTATATATTATACATATATTGTACATGAAGATGGCAAGATCAAATGAGCAAAACATGAATGTATGGTATAGAATGTTACATATATACTTTTATATATATATATATATATTCACATATAATATATATTAAATAAAACTTTAGAAAAATATGTCGAAGCTAAATTTCAGCTAAAATTGCACTGGGCATAATATTTGGTAGAACTAATACAAGTTCTTCTATACTTCGGAAGATTAAGAATGTTAATATATATATTGCTTTATTGTTTTTTGAAAATAATAAAAAATGTTTAGAATTTTAAACATTATATCCTTTTGGCTTCATTCGGAAAATATCGAAAATTCTTTATTTTCTCTCATTTACTCAATTAATCTGCTTAATTTAACAAGCAATACTTTTCTTATTTTAATTAAATTATTATCCGAAGGCAGTTCTTGCGATTACATAGCGGGCTTAATAGGCTATCCAACAGACGATGATAACTAACATTGGGCTATAACTCTATTGAAATCTATGCAAATTTTATCTCTCGATATCGCTGTCATTATCTTACATCCACTTCTTGATTTTTATATAGTATATTGTGTGAGTCCATCCTGTGTCTAGCAATCGCAGTTAATTCTCACAATCTTATCCTTGCTTATTTTGCTTCATAACACGCAATACCTACACAATGTAAAGAATTCATTAATAATAAATTGACATTAATATAATATAGTGAAAGCTTTCCTAACAAATATCTCTGTTAAACGAAAACTGATCTTGGATGGACAATTATTTTCAAAGCAACATTTATTTAAAATATAGTTCATCTACTATGTTTTCCCAATATAATCTTTATTTTTCTTCTTTTCTAGTAAGTTAAGAAATGTTATTTCCTATGCTAAATCAGCACCTGCTTTTCATTGCCTTCGATTCAATCATGCCCCTTCATCTGTAATATCCATACTTGATCATTTAATCCTAGTGTGTTCAGTTTTATGTTACTTGATGATATTTGATTGTCTTTTGTCTATCAAGATTGTTTTTCTTCGATTTTGATATTTGTTTAAGATTGAATTGAACATACATCGATCGAATATAATTCCACTTGAATGATGGTAATTTTATTCTTCTCTACGGCCCATTAGTAAAAGAATAGTAGTAAAATAGTAAAATGGTTCTATAGCAATGCAAAATTATGCATGTGGTCGATACTTTATTACAATTGTATGATGATTGAGCTCTATACGATGACTCCTTCATATTTAAATGTTTATACAAATTTTACTTCTTTACCAATTTGTTTGTTACGCTTCAATTATAACACATCCACACGATCCATAAATAAATAAGGTGCTTTATCTCTTATGCATTGTGTAATTGTTGAAGACTTTTGTTAGTATTTACATCAGTATATTTTTTTTTGTATATACAATTAAAATATAAAATAAAATTCAATTTGTATTGTTTAAATAATTTATATTAAACGCATTAATAATTTGTGACTAATATATTTGCTTTATGCAGTATAAGGTTAGAAATATTCGTTTTCGTACATAAACCCACCGAAGTTTTATAAACTTCAGACACATATATATATAATATTGGATATAGTATAAGTTAATTCAATACATTCAATAAATTGTATAGCACGTAAATATTTTGTATATATAATATTTATAATATTTCAACTTTACATAAAAATGCGACATATACAATTTGTAGAACATTTGATTTACAAATAACAATAAAAATAACTTGGAATGAAAAAAAAAATAATTATTAAGCAGCTTAAGCTCAGATTTAATTCTGTAATTCGATCATTTTTTACTGGTTTTTTCGGGAGCTATCATAATTTGGGGGTAAATCCTGAAATAAACAAATAAATTTTAAAGAAAATATATATTTAATTTATAATCCATAATATGTACTTACGTTATAAGAAGGCGGCATATCACTAGGTCCAGGATTATTACCGTGTTGGTTATAAGGTGTATTATAGGCACTTGCCATAGCTTCAGCTTCTTTTGAATCTAAAAATTTAAAAATAAAATTGAATTAAATGAATATATACATTGACACATTTAACTGAATATATAAAAAATTAACATAAAATTAAATAATGTATACAAATGATAAAAAAAAAAACATTAACAAATTCAATATAACATAAAAGCTTACTTTTGAAAAATTTGAAGAGTGTAAAGAAGTACAAGTTCATGCTTCTTATTTAAGGTATAATAACAGGAATTGGTATAAAACAGAAATTCGAATACATCGGATATATAGGATAGTTATAGTAATAATATTGCGTGCTGCCTGCAACTCAGGAGTACAGAAATACAAAAGAAAAATAAATGAAAAAAAATATTTTAATTAATTTTAAGTGAAAAACTTTTGGTGTTAATTTTCATTATATTTTTGCCAAAACTTCTCGGCTTTTAAAGAAAAAATTTAAGTGAAACAAATGCTTTGAGTACCTTCTGGATTGACTTAAAGTTGATTTTGTGACAATTTGTTGAAGAATTTGTCTTAAGAATTTATTTAAAAGGCTGGAAAGTAAGGTAAAAGTTTTGTTAATACTTTTTAATTACATCATTAAAAAATTATATGCAGTTAATTTATGATTTCTTAACCTTAAGCATATATCTTTTTTTGTGCGGTTCATTTCTAAAACCGATTGTTTTCACGTAGTAAGACACCGAGTTAGTCCAAAGAAAATTAAATATAATTAGTAACCAAATAAAAAGACACTATGAATTTTGTTAATTGACTATTATACATTACATAAAATTCAATATATAAAATATTATATATATGTATGTATTAATATAATAGGTATGTATAGATTTATTTTTTTTCAAGTGTCAAATGAATTGTATAAATTAAATTTATTAAAGTAATAAAACTACAATTATGAATTAACTTTTAAAGATTACATTTCGCAGCGAAATTTTCTGTTATATGCATTAAAATAATTAAGTCAATAGTTTTTAAAAGAAATCAAACGAATATAAAATTCATAAATTAAGTTAAAATTCAAATGATTTAATTTATCTGTTTGGTAATAGCAAGAAATAATAACAGTTAAGTAAATTTATATAGCTGTCGTTTATGCGTTAACTTTAATAATAGTACAATAATTGCAATTGTAAGTTACAAATGGACTCACAATCTGATCTGAAAAATGCAAATTAAGTGTACGTTGACTTTGTGTTAACAGGCAAGTCTATGACTAGTTCTGATTCCTGATGGTAGCAGTTAAAAAATTTATTTACGGATAAGATATATCAGATAAGTCTAAATATCACTGATAGATTGTATTTAGATACATAATGAACAATCGTATTATCAGCCTATAATTCGACTTGATTAAAAAATAAATTCAAAGTTTAAGATTTAAATATTTTCCAACTTTACCATTTTTCTATTCGAAATAGATTACTTGCCATCGGACAAAAAAATATTTAAATTAAAATAATTTTAATATTTAATATTATAAAAAATATTTAAATATAATTACCTATGAAAACGGTCTGGGCACAAAGTGTCCGAAAGTAAAATTTTAAAACTCGTTTTTGAATTTTGTAAGAAAATTGCAACAAACTTTATCTGTCACGTGACATGGTCCATATAAGATATAGCCCGTATGAGAAATGGCAGGGATTTTGGAATCGATTGCGGTCATTGACGGTCATAGCTGAATGTGACATATTTTTAAGTTCACTTTGACTGATTAAGCTTTTTCTTTTGTTTTCAAGAATATATTAATATTAGAAAAAGAGAAATCTTGGAAAAAACGGCACATTCTCGAAAGTTCAAGAATTCAAGAGAAAATCAACTTGAACATAAAAATAAAAGAAGATACGGAGAATATACCTAAGCTCAAATTATATTGCCGCTCTATAATAAACAAATCGAAAGTGGCGGCAATATAGAGAAGAGATCATAAAATTTATAAAAACAATTTTTAATTTATACATTGAAATGTTAAACAGTGAAAAACTTAAGCTAAAACTTAACATTGTTGGTAAATATTATAATTAAATAATTCTAACACTTTAAAACTTATTAATGAATTGTTAACTATTGATATTGTTTTGTTATTATTGTTGTTGTTATTTATTTGTTTACAATCTAAATTTTATACATTATAAAAATAAAAAAAATATATTTGTAAAATTGTTTTCGCATTGTAAAAATTATAATTATTAAATAATAAAAAAATTTTTCAGGCACCCCTGAAGATGTTTGAAAAAAACCAACGAAACGTCCAGTCACAAGACCAGAGTAGCCTAAACAAATATTATAATTTTTTTGTTTTCTTTTTTAATAAACTAAATAGTTTTTACACAGTTTATTAAATATGTATTATTAAAATTTTATAAAAATATAATTTGTTAATTATTTAAAATTTTTCCATTTGCTTTACTCTTGCAAATGGAGAAAAATATTATTATAATGATAATAATTAAAATATTAAAAATTGCTTTATAAATTAACATTTTCAATATCAACACATTCATAGACGTGGGTAGTGGTTCCCTAAGACAATATTGTGACATAGAAAGATATCTTATGGCGTAATACCCACCCACTTAACAACAAATCAGATCATTCATTAAGAGATCATGCAAGTTTAGTGCAACAAATTGAAATACAATTCATGGAATTATATTTTTTTTGTATTAAGAAAGTTATATACATAATTCAATGACAGTGTTTTAGAGTTTAAGAAACTTATAATTATATTATTATTTTCGAATAATAATGTTTATAGTAATTTGCTTTTATATTATGTATAGAATAAAAAAAATTATTATTTTTATATTGCATTTTTGATTTTATAATGAATATTATATATAGAGAAATTAAATATATATAAACTCTTACTTAAGATATATATTATAAAAGACATAAACATAAACATAAATAATGAATTATAATAATAAAACTTTAATAGATAATCAAACAATCAAATAGTAATATATAGTAATAAAAATAGAATAGTAAACATAAAAAATTGTAATGAAAATGTTATTACCAATAATCTTGTAAGATAATAAATTTATTCAACTACTTAAAGTAAGAATATAACTACTACAATACAGTTTATGTTATAGCACATATACAATTATAATAAAAGTAAAAATATATCAATAATAATATAATAATAAAAATATGATAAGAAATAACATAAAATATGATAAATTTTTATTAAAAACATAATGTACATATAAACGTAATAATCAATATTATATTAAAAATTTAATTGTATTAAATATATGTTGTAAAAATTTAAATAGTACAAAATACTGATATAAATATTTAATTCATAAGGTATGCAATAAAACTAAAGTAAAAAATAATAAATATATATTAAAATTCTTTTAATGCTAAATTTAACATAATCTCAGGAGTGAGTGTATTTATTTAAGTTAGATTGCAACTAAGTAACTGAAACATATATATGAAATTAAATTAGTAAAAACATTTTTTTATTTTCTAATATTTGTTAAAATATCACAAAAATTAATATATTTCCCAATAAAAATGATTATTCACAATTATATAATTAATGGGTTTGGTAAATATGAGATATACATTTATTAAAACTGAATTGTTAAAAGATTATTAAATAATTATATATTATGTAATTTTATTTATAATTATTTCAAAATGTTTATGAATTCCAAAACCAAAAAAATTTCTAAAAAGTAACATCAAATGAACATGCAAAAATAAAATTATGAAATCCTGGATAAATAGTAAATGATAAATGCGAAATGTCTTCAAACATTTGATTCTTTAGGTTTACACTCACTTGGTGGTGGTGCACTGAAACCCATAACACTGCCAGCGGCACCTGCTGGTGCGCCACCGGGTGGATACTGATATCCACCTCCTGGTGCTGAAGGCTGCTGTTGACCTGGATAGCCTCCATGATAACCACCTTGCTGTGGTGGTTGAGCACCAGGTTGCATCGCGAACCCACCTGCCTGTGGTGCTCCGTAACCAGGTGCACCATATGGTGGCGGCTGAAAGCCAGCGCCCCAATTATGTGGTGGTTGTTGTGGCTGTTGAGGTTGTTGTGCTGGTGGCAATGAAAATCCATTCCAGCTTGGTTGTTCATTGTTATATTGTTGTGGCTGCTGTGGCTGCTGTGGCTGTTGTGGTTGATAATTAGGCTGGTGATTCGGATTATAAGCAGGTGCTAAATGCATTAGTGCAATAATAAAAAATAAAAATCTTATTAAAAATTTTGAAACACGCATAATCAGCGTAAAACCAATATTAAAAAATGTGAAATCAAAAATGATGACAAGTATTTATTTTCATAAAAGCCGAGAAGTTTACGTTTATAAAATTAAATATATGACAAACTTACGTCCAGCTATACCAGGATAAGGAGGCGGATTATCGCTTACAAAAACTGAGTTTGGTGCCGGACCTGTGAAAGCTGTGTGAGCCGGCAGCCAACCATAATAACCAGGCGGTGGCTGATAGGCTGGTGGTGGTGCTTCGTGCCAAGCTCCAGATGGCGTATATGGTGGAGGATCATCATTGAATAGACCCTGACGCACATTGCTTTGAGCTGTTGCTGCAGCTCGTAACAGCGCTTGTCCGTACTCGATAGCGCCTCCTGCTTTGAAGTATAACTTAAATTTGACCTCCCCAACAAAGTTACCATTCGGTTGAGCACGTACTTTGCCTTTTATATAATTGGCACCAAAAACGGGCTGCTCAATTTCAACCTGAATTACATTGATACAATTAATTCAAAAATAATTTATTAAAAAATGTATGCGTTATTTTACATCTGACATAGCAATGAATGGTGCACTGAAGGATTGCAAAATATCCGCCGGTTTTTTGTTGTTAAAGATAATACGATGTGAAGTCAAATAAATTCGTCCTTGTTTTGAGCCCTTGAAAACTGAATTATCCTGTCCGGAGAATTCCATTGAAACCGAATCGCTGTGCAACAATATACTGCAATAAAATTAAATATGTTATGTATAAAATAGTAATTACATTCTTAATTAATATTTCACAAATAATAGACATTAGTTTGGACATCATATTGTACACCACTGAAATGCATTTAATTTCGCAATGATCTCATTGTATTAAGCAGATATATATCAGCGTTTATGTTATAAACACCACACTACACCAACCCCCTTCAATCTTAAAATACATTCTTAAGAAAACCAAACATTTGTGACTATTTTAAATAGTGGAATTTCTTACTATTCGCCAGCATGTATTAATACGCCATTACTAGCGTGTGCCGTATTTACAGACATTTTGTTAATTTTATAACTTATAGAAATTAATTAATATAAAATTTATATACGCAATTAAACTGCGACACAACACAAGATTTTTTCTGGAACTGTCAAATGATTCATATGTTTTCCTACCAAAACGTTTCAATTTATTTCAAAAAATTAGGTGTTCGCGTTGGCAACAGCTTTTTATTCATGTAAAATCTATTGGAGCATTCACAATTGACAATTGTTCTATGCTATAAAAATGATTAAAAGTATTATTTGTTTTAATTTGCTTTTGTCAAAATTTATTGAAAATATTTAAATGCAAGTGATAGTCAAGTCCTAGTTGAATAAAAACAGTTTGTTATTCGACGAACAATCGTGAACAATCACATTAAAACAGTTCACAATTTTGGTGCATCGTTGCGAATTCGAAATTAATAGATGTGTTCCTCGAGCTACTCGTAGTAAAACTCAAATAAAACACAAGTACAAACTGAGAGCGTAGCACAGAGTACCAAATTACGCTCTTTACACAGATTTTCATAGAACAGCTTTGTGTAAAGTCTAGTGAGAACACCAGTGCCGCGCAAATAAACAACACAAAAATTTAAATTCAAACCAAAACAGTTGATTCAAATATCAAACAAATTTTGCTTGAAATAAAATGTAGGAGTAAAGTCTGAGTAGTATTTTCAAAATTCGACAGGGATCTTACGCTCTTTCAGATGCTCTCATTAACTCGAAAATTTGCTGGTGGAACGCACTTGTGTATACACAGTGTTACTCAAAGTTACTACGAGTAACTTGTGGAACAGAACTAATACCTGTTACAATAATAAAAAGCATTAAAAACGCATTCGTAACACCTTTATGTTTATTTTTTTGACATGAATGCTCCAATAGAACACGTGTCACTTAAAAATTAACATGCAAAGCAATAACAAAATTAGCAAAAATAAGCCTACTTTCATGAAACTGATTAACGAATGAGCCAAAGCAATGGTTCCAATCAAAAAATATCAAAGAACGGTATTCTTTGGTCCCGAATCTTAAAACTGATCTATTGTAAATCATTTTTGGAAGAAAATGAAAAATTCCAGTCAAATGACAGAGGAATTTGTTTATTATTTGTAACATAATAAATGATTAATGATTAAATTTAAATATTTTTAAAACGTAAATAAATACAAAACACAATCGGTATAATAAAAGCATCAAGTCTAATAACTTGATGGCCAGAAAAATAAAATAGTAAAATTGTTATACGACAAGAAATATACACTATATATATGATATAGTTCGCCAAGAAATAAAAGTCGGATGTATTACTATTTTATTAAATAGTTGTAATCGTATTCCTCGTAATTTTGTAAAATTTATATAGGATATTCATCAAATTTGAATTGTTCAAGGCCGGCGGCGATATGCTGATAGGGTGCATGCATCAGCTTATCTGCAGAATATGGTTAGATGAAAGTATGCCCAGCGATTGGAATCTTAGTAGCCTTTGTCGTGTTTTGAAAAAAGGTGACCCGACGATTTGCGCCAACTATCGCAAGATTAGCCTAATACCTGTCGCGTACAAGGTTCTTTCAACTGTACTGTGTGAAAGGTTGAAGCCACATGCCAACTCACTGATTGGACCTTATCAGTGCGGCTTTTGACCTGGTCGCTCCACCATTGATCAGATATTCACACTGCGACAAATCCTGGAAAAAGCCCACGAACATAACATCGACACTCATCACCTTTTTGTCAATTATAAAGCAGCTTTCGATAGCCCCATTAGGGATCGCTTTTACGCCGCAATGTCTGAGCTCGGTATCCCTGCAAAATTAATTCGGCTTTGCAGAATGACGCTGAGTAATACCCGTAGCTCCGTCAAGGTAGGATCGAGTCTCTCTGAACCTTTTGATACCGTGCGAGGCTTCAGACAAGGTGATCCCTTGTCATGTGACCTCTCCAATTTCGTCATGGAAGTGATCATGCGCAGGGCAGGTGTTCATCGTAATGGAACAATATTCTATAAATGTGTCCAGCTCCTTGCTTACGCCGACGACATTGACATCATTGGGCGTAGCAAGCGTGATGCTACAGCTGCTTTTGCTGCTATCGAAAAGGAATCTGCAAGAATGGGTTTAGCGGTGAATGAGGGAAAAACGAAGTATATGTCGGCTACTGGTAGAAATGTGCGTCGCTCGGACACCGGGCTAGTGGCTGGCGACTATACTTTCGAACCTGTCAAGGATTTCATCTACCTTGGCACCGCCGTAACGAATACAAATGATGTCAGTCTAAAGATCAGACGAAGAATCACCATTGCTAATAGGTGCTACTATGGGCTCAGTAGGCAATTGGGATGTAGAGCTCTCTCTCGACAAACGAAACTTACGCTCTATAGGTCGCTCATCCTCCCTGAGCTTCTGTATGGCGCAGAAGCATGGACGTTATCACAGAATGATGAAGCAGCACTGGGAGTGTTCGAGAGAAAAGTTCTTCGTAAGATCTTTGGTCCTCTACGAGTTGGCGACGACTACCGCATTAGAATGAACCACGAGCTGTACGAGCTTTATCACGACATTGACGTATAATTCAGCGCATTAACATCCAGCGGCTTCGCTGGCTTGGTCATGTCGTGAGAATGGATGAAGACGCTCCGGCGAAAAAGGTGTTTGAAGCAGTAGTTGGCGGAAGAAGACGTAGAGGTAGACCGTGTCTCTGGTGGAGTGATCAAGTTGAGGGAGCACTAACTGGACTTGATATACGAGACTGGAGAAGGCGCGCACGCAGCAGAGGCGCCTGGGGAGACATGCTGCGTCAGGCCGAAACTCGGTAACGGGTTGTTATGGCCACATAAGTAAGTATTCATCAAATTTTCATAGTTTTTTTATTATATTCTTCTACTGTTTGGATCACAATATCTTTCTTTTGCAATAAAAGTAAAACAATTTATAATTTCACTTTATAAATTTTTAAAATGTTTAAAATCAAAATTTTTGTTTACCGCTTAACAGCTGACTGTTTAACTGCTTAACAGCTACCTTAAAATTGCTTTTATTTCTTGTCCAAAACGCTCTAAAAACTAATTTTAGTCATTTTTATGTTAGCCGTGCGCGTGTTACTCATCATTTGTGTAATCAATATAAAAATTTAATATGCAGTTACAGATAGATATCCCAACAACTACAATTTCAAATCCTTATATCTCGCAAGTAAAAGTTTCAAAATAATTTATAAAGTTTTAATTTAGCTATATCATACTTATAATTATGAAATTACATTAACATAGTTTATACGGATTTTAATACTTAATGATCTATTGAATTATGTATACGATATTCAATCTAAATAAATTGAATGTCAGATTTTTTCTAATCATGTTCGAGAAATTTACCGACTTCAAAATGTTTGGAAAAGTATAAATTTCTACAAAAAAATACATATGTACATACAAGTTAACGTCCTAAATTAGTATAACGGCACTTTGCCATTATAAATAATTCTCGTATCTTTAGAATGCGTATCCAAATACTGCACATTAGAATATCTCAAAACGTCTACGTGTGTTTATTACAGTCAGGCCAAATGTCTATATTTCTTACAGCAAAAAAGTTGCAAAATTACCCAGAATGCTTACCTTTAAAACTGCAAGAATTTTGCAGAAACTATATCAAGTATCATTTAACATATATACTTTATCGATGATATGTTCAAATACTATTGAAATACTATTAATGTCGTCAGGCTATTGACGCCAAAGCAAAAGACGCTTACGAGGTGCTTTAAAACAAAAACAAGCTCAAAACCTATAGAATGGAAATAAGAAAGCTTCTAAATAATTGTTAAAAATTTTAGAAGCCATAAATAAAATAACACCTAAGTAAAAATTAATAAAATGAAATTTGAATTATTTTAAATAAAATATAAAACTGTAATTAATTAAAATTTTTTAGAATTTAAATACAATAAAGAAAATTTATATTTACATAGAAAAGCTCTAATAATAAAATGACTGAATTAGAATATATGTATGTTTCCAACATAACATATATTTCATACATATATGTATACGTTAGTGTGTAAACTACTAGATTTCATTCTTAAACATGTTTTATATATCTATTTCAACATAAGAATTGCCATTATAATATCCAAAACGTTTTTTTGGGATGTATTTTTTGGATATTTCAATAAGTATGTTCAACTTTCTGTTTACATTTAAAAGAGACGATTTTATTGGCCCACCGCAAAATTCTGCTGCCGTCATATCCTGAAAACGAACCTTTGATAGAAATAGTTCAATTATAATTGTATTCGATCCACTCATTATTTCCGTATCATGTAAATTTTTATCATTTTTTTCTTGTATAAAATTGAATGTCACGTAATTCTCAACAATTTCAAAAAGATCCGCTGCAGAAAGTATTTTACTTAGCTTTTTTAAGAGCACTGTAAATCCTGATGCACATAAATTGTGCATTGGTGAAGATAGCCTAAAGTCGTCATAATCCCATTTTAATTGGAGCGACTCAATCATTTTGTGATACTGTCGAAAGACCTGATATTTTAGTAACTCAACTAATTCCGATAATGTAATAGCACACTTTAATTTGTCCTTTATCTCCGTTTCACAAGCAGTACTTAAAGGACAAATCATATATTTGTCACTTAAATAAGCTAACTGTGCAAGGTCTTTCATTGAATTTTTACCTTGATAAACGCCGAAATATATAAAGGTGACAAAAAATTGAAATGCACGCGGAGATACATCATCTAGTGAAATTTCGTAATTTTTTTCCGATTCAAAATAATTCCCACTAAACATTGAACTGAACACATCTGAGCATTCTGCTAACACTTTCTTGTGGCATGATATGCGTTGTATTTCGTCTGTTGTCTTACCAACGATAAAGATACAATCCGTGGCTGAATTTTTTATAAAATCTAATCTTTCGAGTTCCCTAAAATTTAAAAAGAACTTCATATTATTATATTACATCTTTTTATGGAATAAATTTTCAAATTATATTATTGTTAACTTACGAAAGTTCATTCCATTTCTTTAAGTCGTTGCTAGACATTGTTTTTGCTGAAATATATTTCATTCCGATATACTTTCTAAAACCTACTCTGTGCGGTTCCCTGGCGCGACGTAGAATATTGTGAAGTACCAAATGATTGTCGAAAATCAGTCATCGTTTCAATGTTGAAAACGTATATTACTAAATCTCACTAACCAAAGAATATCTTACAAGAATAATGTTTCAAAATTCTTTAAAAAATAATGCTAAAAATACTCAGCATATTTTGATGAAACTATAAGTTATGGTAAATATTATAGCATTGACAGACGGGAGCTAAATTATCATTAAGGGGCTAAATTATAATTTATTTGCTCATTTAGCAGTTTTAAATGATCATTTATGGTCTTTAAATGACCGAATTTAACCCAATTTATTTGTCATTTAGGTTTTTAGAAATGGTAATGCTGCATATGCAAGTGAAACGAAATTAAAAATGGAACAAATTTCAAGCTATTTGGTTGTCAAAATATAAACAAAACATATTTGGAAACATTGGTAAATGTAAATACTAGATATATTTTTTTATATATCTTATTTTTAATGAAAGCAAGTTTCTTTAATTTTTCTTGCTTATCCATTTTGAATTTAAAATTCTTTCTTTCGCTTTTTCAATAACAAAAAACATATGATACAGCAACTTCTTAATGATAATTTATACCGTCTGTCAGGGTATTTTTAAAATGATCATTTAAGGCTGCTTAATGATAATTTAGTTCGCTCGTCTGTCAATGCTATAAATTTCTTTTTTGTTTTTAAAAAACAATTCAACTTTTGTGCATTGCTTTGACAGAAATATTGATTTCAAATGTAATATTTTTTTAAAATAATTGTTCAGTTTATACATAAAAAAAGGAATAACAATAACAAATTAATTGAATATAACAAACTTAGCTTAGATCATATACACATTATGATTTTTATTCAACTAAGAAATGAACTTTCATATATTTTCCTGTAAATTATTTGTTGCAATATTTATATATTAGGTCTGTTCCACGAGCTACACATAGTAACTTTGAGTAACACTGTGTATACACAAGTGCGTTCCACGAACAAATTTGTGAGTAAATGAGAGCATCTGAGAGAGCGTAACATCCCTGTCGAAATTTGAAAATGTTACACAGACTTTACTCATGCATTTTATATGAAGTAAAATTTGTGTTTATGTGTAAATCAGCTGTTATGGTTTGAATTCAAATTTTTGTATTGTTTGTTTGCGCGGCATTTGTGAATATTAAAAAATTCTGCATTTTTAATTGTAACAACTGTAATAAATAAATATTGAAATGGATAAAAACATAATAAATATTTTATTAAGTGATTTAAGTAACACAACACAACCAGAATATAGAATTGGTGTATTCGATATTACATAAAAAAAAAAGAAAACGTGTGTGTATAAAAAATTATATACAAGATGTTGTTTGCAAATATGACGACAAGGAATTCAAAGCTTATTTCCGCATTTCGCGGAGCTTTTTTAATTCTTTGGCTATAAAATTTCAAAATAGTACCGACTTTATTGCACTGCGAGTAAGTGAACTGAACATTTCTTCAGAAGCTCACGTTGCTGTTTTTTATGGTTTGCTGGTCACGAAGCATGTTGTTTTAGAGATTTATCAGATCGCTTTAATCTCTCTTTATCGTCAGTAAACCGAGTTATAAGAAGGATGATAACTTTCTTTAGCAACATGTGTCCGGATATAATTGCATGGCCTAGCACATCAAAAAAGGAAGAAGCAAGTACATTTTTCCGAAGCTTATGCAATTTTCCATAAGTTATAGGTAAGGATTTATATGCATATTAACGCTGCATATATATTAATACATGTTACTTTGCAGGTTGCCTAGATGGCACTCGTATAACTATTGATCCTCCTGGAGATCGTAAGGACGACTACATTGACAGAAAAGGAAATATTTCATTATGCTTGCAAGCCATCTGTGATGAAAACAGAAAATTTATTAGCATATTTGCCGGACATCCAGGCTTCTGTCATGACAGTTGGGTTTTACAAAACTCTCCTATTTATATGCGACTACCATCGAAGTGTGGAGGTAAGTTCTTTGGAAAAAGAAATGAGATTTATTAAAACCTCTTACGTTTACAGAATACTATCTACTGGCTGATTTCGCATACCCCTGTACACAACACATCATTACGCCATATAAAGACAACGGGCGTCTTACTCGTGCACTAAAGAATTTCAATAGAAAATTGGGGTCAGGTCAAATACTAATAGAAAATGCATTTGGTATTTTAAAACAACGTATTAGACAGCTGTACTACTGTAAATTTAAAGGAGTTGAAAAACCGTGTCACTTTATAAGAGCATGTTGCGTTTTGCACAATCTTGCAAATGAAAACGACTTAGAATTCACATTTTCAGAACAATCTGAGGAAGATAATGATGTCAACAACCACATCCCTTTTAGATTAAGTATCGTTAGAGATTCGATTTGGAATGAATTACAAACAGAAAATAATTTGGATTAAAGTGTTTATTTGTATATTGCTTATTTTTCATTAATTAATTTTATTAATATTGCAATAAAGAACTTAATTCTAATTAACATAACATCACATTTTATAAATATATACTTAATTCTATCTTAGCTTTAAAATTACATTATTTAAATAAATTTTTAATTCTAACTAAACATAAAGACTATAATATTAAAAGTAAATATGTTTTTAACATAATGTGTCCTAATAATAATAATATGTAATATATTAAAATAAGTTTAAAAATAAATAAATAAAATATATTAATTATTTTATTATTAATGTGTTTGTCTGTTATTTTCAAATTTCTATTTCTACTGTTTTGTTTTTCAAAAAACAGCCGTTTTCACCAGACTTTACACAAAGCTGTTCCATGAAAATTTGTGTAAAGAGCGTAATCTGGCACTTTATTTGTGTTACGCTCTCAGTTTGTACTTTACTTCTGTTTTACTCATGGTTTACTATGTGTAGCTCGTGGAACAGACCTATTATTGTAGTATATTCGATCATGGCAACACTGCATAAAGAAATAGAAAAAGAAGGAAAAAAATACAAAATGCGTTGTTGTCGTCGTTGTGCTAAACGGAGTAAGCGTGCCGTGGCGTAATCATTATTATTATTAATATTAAATTGTAAATTATTATATAACTTTAATTAATAAAGTATATGTTATTATATATAAGAATATAATAATTATATATATGCAATATATTATTTGTATGATGTGATAATATTTATAAAATAACGTATGCAAAAGTAGTAACAAATCATTGTATTACATCCATAAATAAGAGCAATTTGACATTAGTCGTAATTTTCTGTTTCAGAGTAGCAAAAAAATACTCGCAACTTACGAAAAAAAACAGGTGACGCAACAACGATGCTCTTAAAATCTTCAGAGTTAGATTTTACTCGCAAAAAAATTTTAGACTATAGTTTTAATTTTCTGGTATTTTTATTGACCAACTTTAGGCTTACAGAAAAAATTAACTCTTTAAAAATTATTAAGACTTGAGAATACTTACAAGGTATTTTCTTTAAATAAGACATTGTAGGATAGTGTAAAATTATTATCATAACAAGACCTCAAACAAAGAAGAAGATAAAATAAAGAAACTAAGAGTTAGTTGAAAAATTGTGTATAAATTTCTCTGGATTATTCGAATAATATTCAAAATTTTGTGTAATGACGTGAAAATATCACACGGCACAAAAACAAAAGGCCAATGCTACATAATGGCGCGTGAATATTTTCCCCACACTGTCTTGCTGTTTTGCCCACCTGGTCCCTACTCACCACGATATTTGCTAAGAGCATTTTCTGAAAAATTTCGTTGTCTGTTTTGATTTTTTGACATTAAAAATCCATTAAGAAAAAATGCGTTGCAATTAGGTGCACAAATAAGAAGAATAAGGTGGAATCTGTTTTCAATTACAAAAGTATTAAAAAAACGTAATTATTTCAAAAAAATATACGAATTATTTTTAATACAAATTTATTTATAAATGAAACGGAAGTGCGTAAGTAGATGTTTCAATTTCAAAAATATATATATTTTTCTAAAGGATTATCGAAGGTAAATTATTAATTAAAATTAATCTATTAATGTATATAATAAACTACCAATTAAGTTGTGCATGTTCTTTAGTACTTTGAAAGTAGTATAATAAAGTAATTAGAAGATTATTTTTACCATAATATAATATTATGAAAATGGAAAAATCCTGAAGCAAAATTTATAATTTTTATTTAATTTAATAGTTCCTTATTATTTTTAGATTCGTCTTCTATATACATAAAAGAAAGTCGTGTTAGTTACACCACTCATAACTCAAGAACGGCTGAACCGATTTTAATTATCTTTGATTTGTTGGAATCGTCTCCGCTCCGAATAGCAGAATACATTATAAAATATTGGAAAAATCCACTAATTTTAGCAAAAATAATAAATTTGTAAATGCTGTTTCAAACTGTTGACAGTTTGAGTGATATTGATTTCTTTTTAAATTTTTTTTTCAAATATTTCAAATTTCAAATATAATAAATTCAAATATAATAAGTAAATATTGTTATCAATATACCATCGAATCCACGTGACCTGTGGAACAAATATAAGGATAACATGTCAGAAGACATTTTACATAGAATTCGTGTCAGTTCAAGAAATCCCGATCTTGAGGTGAATAATGAAATGCATAATTAGGCTTTGCTCTTGACCGAAGGCATATGTTACCATACGTGCGGTGGGTTGTTAATCAGATTAGGAATGCCAGCTCCTGATCGTGGAATAAATAACGCATTTAATAGAGAATTGGAACGTGAACGTGAATATGATCGACATGAATTAGACCAATCAGTTCAAAATAATGTACCTCTATTGAATCCGCAACAGAAGGAAGTTTAACATTAATGAAAGCGATTGATGAAGAAAATGGTGGCTTTTTTTTCTGGACGCCCCCGGTGGGACTGGTAAAACATTCCTCATGTCATTAATTTTGGCCACTGTTCGTGCGAGATCCGACATGGCGGTAGCAGTTGCTTCTTCTGGAACAGCGGCTACATTGTTAGAAGGATGCCGTACGGCTCATTCAGCGTTAAAATTGCCGTTAAACCTTCAAACTACCGAGCAACCGATATGTAATATTGCGAAGCATTCTGGGACGAATGCACAATGGCGCACAAACGCGCATTAGAAGCACTTGACAGAACATTGAAAGATCTTCGCAATGACTCGAGATGTTTTGGAGGCGCAATGATTTTACTGTCTGGCGATTTTCGCCAAACACTCCCAGTCATTCCAAAATCGACTGCTGCCGACGAAATAAATGCTTGCCTTAAATCATCAAATCTTTGGCGCTATGTGAAGAAACTTCAGCTGGTAACAAACATGAGAGTTGCATTGGTAAACGATACATCTGCTGAAGAGTTCTCCAAGCAATTGCTGTTAATCGGTAATGGCCGTGTGGCTGTTGAAGAATCGAGCGGATTAATAGCATTTTCTTCAAATTTTTGCAATTTCGTCTCATCAAAAGACGAACTCATCAATGAAGTATTTCCGAACATCATTGATAATCATAAAAACAAAAAATGGTTGAGTGAGCGAGCAATTTTGGCAGCTAAGAACAAAGATGTGAATGACTTAAACTTTGTAATTCAAAATCAAATCGTTGGTACTCTGCATACATTCAAATCTATTGACTGTGTAACAAACGAAGAAGAAGCTACCAACTATCCAACTGAATTTTTGAACTCCTTGGATGTGCCTAGCTTACCACCGCACAATTTACAATTAAAGATTGGTTCGGTAGACATTATGCTTCGAAATCTAAACCAACCAAAACTATGCAATGGAACGCGTTTAGTTATAACAAAACTGATGGCCAATGTGATTCACGTAATGATACTCAAAGGAAAATTCAAAAGTGATGAAGTTCTCATTCCGAGGATTCCAATGATCTCAATCGATATGCCCTTTGAGTTTAAACGAATTCAATTTCTTATTCGGCTTGCATTCGCTATGACTATAAATAAATCACAAGGCCAATCCTTTAGTGTTTGTGTCTGAATCTAGAAAATGCATGTTTTTCACATGGTCAATTGTACGTGGCATGTTCACGTGTAGGCAAACCATCTGCTTTATTTGTTCTTGCGCATGATAAAAAAACAAAAAATATCGTATATCACAAGGTTCTTTATTGAAGAGAATCAATCGGAGTGCAACCCATAGGTTCTTGCTGACAGACCATTAAAATAATTAATTATATATCAATATCCTAATAAACTATTGAATACAATAAATTTTTTGTATTCATTTTATTACGTTAATAAATTTCTAAATTTAGTTTACCTATAATTTAATATAACATTTATTGACTGTTACGCGGTACGAAGTTCGCGTGGTCACCTAGTATTAAATATTTTTAAAATAGTAATATTGTTTTGTATATATTAAATTATTCTAAATTGTATTTACATAAAATTGTATATTTGTTAAATAAAATACGCGACTTTACGCGATGAAATTGATCCTTATTCTTTACAATGTTGTTTTTAACTAGTTAAGAATTTCTTGAATTTCATATACAAAAAACATTTTACCTTACTAAAAAGATTGCTTAAAACTACAAAAAATATGTAGTAGTAAACAGCGTGTACATTTTCACAATTTTCTATATCGAAAAAATTTGATGTACAAGCTAAAATTGTATTATAATACACCAAACGTTTTTGAATTTTAAAAAATTATATTAATATTTGTCGTTTTGAGGCAGAATATTAAAACAACATAACCTAAAATTTGATATATATGAACACATACTAACTTCTCTATTAGATGCTGACTTTTCCTATAAATATATTTTTTTGACAGCATATACATATATATATAAATATAGTTCGTATATGTGCAACCTGATAAAAAGAACTTTTATTTTAACAAATACGAAACAATTTTTTTACTTTATCAAAACACTTTCATGACTAATTATATATACATATTTACATATATCAGTACCCAGTAGAAAACGGATCGATCCGTCATCGAAGACGTCTTCAAGACATGGATACATACATGAAGACCGATCGATCCAAATGTATGACGGTCTTCGAAGACACTTTAATACAAATTAGCCAAATGTCTTCAATGAATTTTTGCGTACATGTCTCGAAGACCATGTCTTCCATAACGGACACATCCGACAGAAAATTGTGCGCTCTTAGTGCACAACTGTTTATTCACTACACTTCAAAATTATTGCGTCACTTTATTTATAAAACATAGCGTCATTTGAGGCAAAATTCAAATACGTCGCTATGAACACTAAAAAAGAGAGAGAAAGCAAAGAAAGAGTATTTACATTCATGTTTTGAGCAATTGTTTTGTAAATTTGCTTGAACATATGGACGAGGTATCAAAGACCGTCTTGAAGACAATGTCTTCGAAGACCACTTTTTCTACTGGGTAATTATTAGACCACTACAGATTTAAGTTTACATGTTCGTGTTTTATTTAACGCATTTAAAATTTATACATATATAAATTAAAGTAAAGCTGATATAAAAAATCATGCCTATATTTACTTATTATAATCGTATTAATGTATACAATGGATTTTCCAAGAACATTAATTTATACTATTTCTTCTAATTAGAAGAAATGGCTACATGCACGGTTGCCACTTATGGTACTTTAGTACCAAAATTGGTACTTTTTTTTTTTCGTACTCACTTTCAAAAAATGGTGCATTTTTGACGACCCAACTTTATTGTGGATATTTCCAATTAATTTTTTTTATAAATGCAACTTTGCACTATTTTATATTTTGTTCATTTATAACACTATGAAAAACACAGAACGAGAAAACAAAAAGGACAGAAATGGTACCTTTTTAAACCAATTTTGGTACAGAAAAAAATTTTCAAGTGGCAACCGTGGCTACATGCTAATATGGAACTACAAATGTAGTAAACATTTAGGTTTTAAACCACACCGTTATTAATATTTGACAATTCTGGAATGGTGAGAGATTTTTCCTCTCAGTTTCTTTTTCTTTATCTTTCTTTTTAATTTCTCAGTTTCTTTTTAATTTTTACGTGAATTAATCAAAACAAGCGGTTGTCATTCGAACTGCACCCTTAAAATAATGAAACATGAATAGTTGGCAGCACTAACAATATTTTTCAAGAACTTTGTCGGGTGTGTCGGGTGAAATTTGCTTGCACTACAAATAAAAATATATTTTAATTTTTTGCATTAACAAATCAAATATGTGTAATACCAATTTCTCTTACTTTATCTAATTTAAAAAATAAATAAAAATAATGTCTTTCAATTACACGAACCTTGGGAACATATGTGAGTTTGCATAACGAGCGAAATGTGTATTCTTAATAGTTGTAATCCAAATATTTGATAGCGGATTAAATAATTTTAATAGATTTGAAATATACATTGAAAGATACTATATAATTTAATACTATTTTATAAATTTAATTAAAAATAATAAGAAAAATTGACGCCATGTTTATTTGTTATTTGCTTTTGATTGCACTTTATCATTCTTCACATTCATTTCTTTTCTTATTCTTATTATGTTATATTCGTAACAAAGTGAAAGTGCTAAACACTTGTTAACTTTGTTTACAATTTTTATTTGAAAAACATTTCCGGCAATGTTTTGTGAGCAAAAAAAAATGCATTGAAAACATTTAATTAAAATTTTTTACAGTATAAAATTATAATCTAAATATAATTTAAATTAAGCTAATAATTAAATAATTGTTCGTTCTTTACAGTGCCTTTGTATAATGCATTAGCTAGTAACGCAAATTCCATTGCCGGTCATTCAAATTTTGCTAATCCTCTAAATGCTGCCATCACTACAACGGCTGTGGGTCCAATAGCAAATGCAACTTCTACAACAACATTAAATATTAAACATAAACCTCCTGATAACTCACAAAAAGTAAATACCTCGACAGTATCAAAAATGAAACCTAATCAAGGTGCTGCTCCAATGGATTTGGAAAATGACTCTGAAGTAGAAATAGTATCGAATAATATAGTAAAACCAACTAATGTAAAAGTGTCAAAACATGGAGATGAAGTGAACAAAATTCCTATGAATATGCATGATCCCAATTTGTACTTAAATAGTCTAATGTCTACTGGTTTAAACGCTTCTGGTTATATGTTTTTCCCCACTGCTGCTGGTATAGGGCCTAACACAACAGCTGCTGCCACAAACTCAATGCTTATGGATACGACCACTATGATGGCAGCAGCTATGCAACAAATGCAACAAGCTTATCCAGCAGGATATGGAATAACGGAAAATAACTTAGAAGCGGCGCAATTAGGAAATAGTTCAGGTTTTATTTTTACTCTTATAGTCAACTTCAGTAAAGAGAAACAGTAACACAACAACAAAAGACTTTGTAAAATCCGTTTTACAATTTTTTGTAGTATGTAATTTGTGTTCAATGGTCTTTCTTGCTGAAATGGATTATAAAATTACAAAACACATTTTTTTAATTACTACCAATTTATCTTAATAGACACGTACAATGTCACATCAACCACTTCAATGAAAGAAGTAATTAAAACTAAAAGTTGTATACTATTTCCACCAAATCCAAATGCTCCACCACCAACAATTCGTGAACGACCACTGGGTTGTCGCACTGTTTTTGTAGGTGGTCTACCGGAAAATATAACAGAAGAGATTATACGTGAAATATTTGAATCTTGTGGTGAGATTACTACACTTCGTATGTCGAAAAAGAATTTTTGCCACATACGCTATCGTCATGAATCAGCAATTGATCGTGCCATCTATTTGTCTGGTTACCGTGTGCGCATATCTAATGTAAGCGAGCCAGCAAACTTTGGCCGCTTGCATGTTGATTATGCTCAAGCACGTGATGATCAATATGATTATGAATGCAAGCAACGTCAAGTGCAACGTGAACAAAGACACCGTGAACTTATGTCGCATGATCGTTTGCGTTCGCAATCACCTCCACCAATACCACATTATTCAGATCATGAGTCTACATTAGTTGCGGAAAATCTGCGTAATAATGAAACGTTTTTAAAGGCTGTGCAGACAATAACTGTATGGTTGGAACGTGGTGATTGCAGTAAAAGAAATGCTAATGTTTTTTACTCTATGATACAAAGTACACATGCGCACGTACGTCGTCTGCACGCAGATAAACAACAATTAGAAGATGATTTACGTAAGGCTCGAGAATGCTACAGAAAGCAAATGCTTACCATGTCAACGCAATGTAAGTACTTAGATTTTGTTTACTAGTTAGTTATAGTTTACGTTCCCAAATTAAATACTCATTGTTACTATTTTATTTTTATTATCAAAAATTAAATACTGTTCCGATTTAAAATAGAATTGATAGAACTGAGTAGGCCTGTTATTACAACTGCGGTTACTTTTAAGTTATGCAAAAACTATTGTAGATCTTTAAAAAAGATTTTAGTGTAAAACTAAAAAATTACCTATTTATTTTTATTTATTTGTATTCACTACAAACCTGAAAAGTATTCCTCACTTTTAAAGTCGGTTTTGTTTTTTCAGAACTTTAACTTTTATTTCGATCCTTATTTTTAGTATATTTCTATACGTATTTCGGTAAATTCGCTTTTGCCTTCATCAGGGGAATTCCTAATATTCCTCATGCACCAATTAAATTAATGCTTACACTGATATGACGTGAAATGTGTCTTATTCAATATTTTTAATAAATATAAATATATATTAAATATAAAATAACACTTGATACCTTTACACCACTACTATTGTATCTATTTGTTGATAGTTTAAGCTAATTGTTTCTTATTCTATAATTTAATTATAAACTTAATGAAAGGCTTAACTATTATATTTATAAGGACTTAATACATCTACTTAATACAACTAAAATACATAGTTTACTTTTAAATTGTGTCATATGTGGTGTTTACCAAAGGGGAAATTCTTGTAAACTAACTTTATTTTATTTTTTATATTAGTTTTCACATTACTATAATTCAGAAATTCTAAACAAATATATACTGTATGTATATATTTCATTTAATATGTTACTGATATTAAATTTTCAAGTGATGATAATACACTTTGTGTTTTTAACAATCAATAGCTATTTCAAAAATAACTATATGATATAAAACTATAACCATACTAATTATTAAAACACCACATTTTGGAAGCAATATAATTCTTTATTTACTTAAAATCAGCAAAATTAATAGTAAACGTTTGAGCTAGTACTGATGTTAATATATTTTGTTTAAGCAATTAGAAAACCTTTTATGTAATTTCAAAATATAATTTTATGTATAATTCAAAGATTATGTTCTTATAAAATTTATAAATTTTCAAATCTTTAAATTTAATATTTAACAAAAATAGATCAAGAAATAAGGTATGATTTTACAATAGTTTCAATTTCGTTATATCACAAATAAATAATTAACTAAAATAATTTAGTTTATTTGAGCTATTTAAGACAGAGAAACTATTTTTAAATAAAAGTCAATAGTAAACAAATAAAAATATTATATTATAGTTAATTCAAACTTATTGCTACCACATATTTATCATTAATGGTCTTTGGAAATATTTGTAGTTTAATAAAACGTATTTACTATTTATGTATTTCTATTATAAATTAGAATTTATTTAAAAAATAAATTTATTTCATCCGTTTATCAACTTTTATCCACAAAAAGCTAATGTGCCAAGTTTTATTCGATAAATTTAAAAACCAAGAGTAAAGACTTCACTAAACAAATTCTTGCTGTGCTGTTTCAAAATATATATGTCTTATATAATCTTTTATATCTCTGTTATAAAGTGTTTACGTTCTTTAATATCCCTCACTGATAAAGTGTTTAGTTATTGAGTTTATATCGAGTTTTTTGAAATCTTAAAAACTTTATTCCAATTAAATATAAAATTGCTAGAGACTAGCACAATATTAGTTTCCTATTGAGGTAATTCATTCTCTTTCTGAAATTAATATATATTAATATACAAAATAATATTTAATATAAATAACAAAATTATTGGTATAATATGTATATATATAAGTTAACACCCGCGTATTCCCGAATCCGGCCCTGCGCTTAAATTCATTAACGGAGTAATCATGCAATATTATTTCATCACCTGATTGCTGCCAAATGGGACATCAACTTGTTTGTCTGGAAACGTCCCGTTTGGTTTCGGTAGCTCTCAACTCAACAAAAGTCTACTCTTTCACTTTTACTTGGGGTACTGATCGAGACACACGTTGATAACTAAAAAAGTCATATTTATTTAATCAAAATAAATAACATGTGGTAAACTATAAAATATATTAGGAACTTATATGTATATACATACATACATTTGGGATACTTATATCCCACTTTCCTTGGGATTTGAGTTATAGAAGTTCTACTGTCCTCGTATATAAAAATTTAATTGTTTAGGTTAGTATCAAATGTACTTTTTAACCATTAAATCTGCATTATATTTCTACTACGTGATCTATATATATATATATAGGAACGGAACATAGACTATAGCATTTTAATTTAGGTTTTAAAAGATCCTAAAGTTCTTACTTTTAAACTTTTTGTTGAATTCAATTGATAGCTTTATGAATGCCGGCGAAGTGGTAGACGTATATATGATATACATATATATAAAAGTCCTTCGCGCATTCTAATTTATTCTTTGAATTTTAGTCTGTTCATATAGTTCTTATATATATAAGAATAAAGTTCTTATTCTTTAAAAAATCTGTTAAGTATAATTTACCTCTAACAATCAAAATTTACACGGAACTACAAAAGAGCTGCAGAGTTTTTTATCATATATATATATATGAAGTTTACGAATAAATGAATTCTTATTACTATAACTATAAATCATAATTAATAGAAATATAATTTAAAACAAAAATAATATATATATCCTGTTTTATGGATGTAAGAAATTAATAAATTTCCTTAAAATAGAAAAAAACTAATGTAAAGAAGCATGAGGAGTACAAAAATTAATACTTTATGTTTACGTAGATTCAAGAATATCAAATTATCTATCTGTTCTTTAAAGATTTTGAAGAGTTCTTTATAGTCAAAAATTAATTTTTAATATAAGCTAATTTTCTTTTGAGAGAAATTATTAATATTATCTTTTCTAATATAATTAACATTTCATATTAGATAGTAGCTATTAATCCCCCCTCTTCTCTTACTAATATTTAAGTGATTATCAAATATTTTTTAAACTATTTTGAATGCGGAACAGTGCATATATAATAAAATAAAGTTGTAGTTACATGTGTAGTTAATCGTCTTATAAATACTAATTAAATATATGTACTATATATACAATTACATTTAAGAACAACATTTTCAAGTTTTAATTTTTACAAAAAAAAAAAAAACGGGTATTACGTATTGCTTAATTAATTAAAAGTTAACAGCAAAATAAAAACTATTCCGTTTTATTACAAACCTTAAAAGCTCAAAAGATTGAAAATAAATGCAATATATCTTGTTAAACAAGTTCTTATTATAAAGCATCTCAAAAAATTGCTCTGTCCAAACATGAAAGGTAATTGCTTACTCACATATGTATAAAAAAATTTAGATAAATCAAATATGTAAGTGACAATGGGTCTCGTAATTTCTTTCAAGCAAGGTTTGTAATTTTTAAAACTGAGAGCAAATACATCTTAATAAGACACTGAAACAATTATTTTCTATTTAACGAAAATACAGACAAGACACCTGCAACTGGAGATGTGAGATACAATATAAATAAACACGAAGAATTCGTACTATTGTGGGTTTGTAAAAATACATTTACTAGGCCTTATTTTAATGGTGGTAAAAATAGTGAAAGTAGGGATTTTTTAAACGTAGTTTTATTCTTTTTATTTATTTCTAATTTTTATCGCTTATCATTTATTTCAAGTTAACTAACAAATCAAAAAAAAAAAAAAAGAATAACTGTATACATACATATATGTATAAAAATATATAATGAGGAGTATATAAAGTAATTAATAATTAGTAAAACTCAAAACACAACAAACAAACTGCCCTCTCCCCCTATTATTATTACTATTATTATTATTATTGCATATTCAGTCACTCAGATTGAAAAAGTGTTCAATGCTGCTAGTCACAAGAAGGTTTGGGACCATTTCACCAAAGCCCAAAGAAAAAACATCGACCAGTGGAAGAAGTTTGCGACGGTACGTATTAAAAAAAAACAATTGTTCCTTTCATATAAATGTTATTATAACAATTTTTATTTTGTTCATCTTTGTGATGCTGTCCATTTGCACATTATATTAACATTTACTAATGTAAGTTATTATTTTTTATCTTCGTTTATATTTGTTAACTGTTTCTTATTCACTCACAGTCCCTGTTACATTTTTTTTATTTCTCAACATTGCACATTTTAGAGTCCTCGTCCTCGTCCACATCCATATCTCTTCGTTTTTATTTATTCATTTATTTTTTGTTTGCATGCTGATAATGTACAATATATTGCATCCTTGAAGTTTTTTTTGTTAATGACTAATAAAATAATTATATACTGAAATGATATTTGACAAAAAAAAATTAAATAAAGAAAACACATAACTACACTTAAAAAGTTAATAAAAATTTTTTTTTTTTGATTTAAATACTTTTATCTAATTTAGCGTATTAATTTTAAAACCAAAATTTATAAAAATTAATATTTTATATGCAAGTATCAATAACAGTTGAGATTTATTTTTGCTGTTATATGTATATAGGATCTTTTTTCAAGAGGTGTATAACTTAATAATTAATATAAAATAAAAATAATATGAACAAACGTGCTAAATATATTTTATTTGATATATTATTCTATGGCTTTAATAACTAAAAATGATTTCACTCGTTTGATTTTAATGGAAACGTCTTATAGAAAGTACAGGTTAGAGCTGTAATTTTCATACAACTTTTCCAAATATCAATTTTTGCTTGTAAGGCTGCAATCTGTATTAACTTCTTTGAATTATTTATTAATATCAAGTGCTTGGTATGAGATCGAATAGCGCATCTCATAAAAGATGTCCTCAATTTTTGCTTGTAAGGCTGCAATCTGTATTAACTTCTTTAAATTATTTATTAATATTAAGTGCTTGGTATGAGAACGAATAGGGCATCTCATTAAAGATGTCCTCAATTTTTGCTTGTAAGGCTGCAATCTGTATTAACTTCTTTAAATTATTTATTAATATCAAGTGCTTGGTATAAAAATGCTGTACCGGTATTAATACCGAAAATAGCAATGAGAACTTGCCACAGTACTAATTTAGGCATCGTACACGTACTTCAATAAATTCATAATTCACTTATAATATAATATGTGGGAATGTTTGTTGAAACTAACAGCCGACCGGATCATTTTCATCTATTTTTAGAAAAATTCGTCGTTATACACGACCCTGCTCTGAACATAATTAACGATGAAATTACGATTTCTTTATTTTTGAAAAAGTAAAGTCCAATAATGCCACTATTGTCTAAACACCTCCAAATGGCAGCTTTTTCCCTTTCAAATTCACCAAACACTCAACAAAACCTTGTTTGGTGGCAATCCAGGCTTTGAAATCGTTTGTGAAGGGTCAGCGGCATTCCACTTATATCGTTTACGTTGGATATTCTCCTAAAGTGGTACCATTTCCCTGCGTTTCAGCAATGTTTCACTAAATGTAATTTGATTAATCAAATCTTTGGGTTAATTCAGGTAAAACCCAGACATCGAGCTTCTTTGTGTAGTCTACTCTTTTTTGAATTTAAAGACTCTGCTATCTCCTGACATCTTACATATCGGCCTTGCTCCATCAGCTGCAAAATTTCAATCGTCTTTTTCAATGACTGACCGACCAGAGCCAGGTGCATCTCTGACATCGAAATTTCCTGAATGGAATCGAACTGATTTGTTCACCTGGGTACGACGATCACTGTCAAAATTCTCACCCTAAACCGTACATAATTTTTGGCATATATTTGCAGCGATTTTACATTTTTTAAAGTGCTCTTTTGGCACAATCGAAGTAGTGTTACAAGATATATGAATAGCAACATCATCTAGTGACAAAAAACCGTAGCTACTTTTTATATCACCACCTAATATTAAGTAATCATTCAATATTCCATTAAATATCCTCATCAGAGATATATTTCTGGTGAGGATATTTGTTTGTTCACACTAAGCCAATTTAATTCCAATTATTGAACAGATTAGACAACTACATAAGGCAGCAATGACTGTACTAGCCCAATTGTCGTATGTAGCTCTGTCTACTCTTAATGTATACCTAAGCTACAGTCCTGCAACTCATGGTGCCTCCTATTTGTTCAAATATCCCACTGTTTCTAATTCTGTTTTGTCAATTCCAAACAAAGTTTCTAAGCGTATGATGGGTTCAAATTAAATTAAATTTTTTTTTTCTGTCCAAATGTTTCTTGATCAATTTGCCACATTATTTTATTTTATCACTTATATCACTTAGATGTTTCCGGAGTTTGCCTTTAAACTCTCTTACAGTTTTCTGGTGCAAGAAGGTGAGATGAAACCTTTTACGTTTTTACTGAGAAATGTTTGTTTTTCTTTTTTGTACTCATATTATAGCAAAATTATTGCACAAACAGAATTACATTATATTACAAACTGCTTTACTTGCCCCTCAATTTTTACATTTTTCAATCAAAATTCTGATTAAAGCTGCTCTGTTAGCAAATGTGAACGCATACTTTTGTCTCCTTCCACAACAAACTTTAAAATTTGTAGTGTGAATTTGCTGTTCATTTTGTACGTTGGAAGCATATTGTTTTCTTGTTTTATTTTTTATTTCATATTTTTTATATATCAACAATCAGTCTAACTTGCAAAGATACTGCAAATAACGCGTTTAACACAATACATAAAAGAACGATGATATTTCCAGACCACGGTCTTAATTCGACAGGGTTTTTATCATGTTTCCATGTAGTAATAAAACTATACTGTCCAATTTTGGTTGGAGATAATAGGTCTGTTCCACGCGTTACACGTAGTAACTTTGGGTAACACTGTGTATACACAAATGCGTTCCACTAGCAAATTTCGAGTTAATGAGAACATCTGAGAAAGCGTAACATCCCTGTCGAAATTTGAAAATGCTACACAGACTTTACTCGTACATTTTATTTCAAGTAAAATTTGTCTGATGTTTGAATCAGCTGTTTTGGTTTGAATTTAAATTTTTGTATTGTTTACTGCGCGGCACTGGTGTTCTCATCAGTCACTACACAAAGCTGTTTCATGAAAAACTGTGTAAAGAGCGTAATTTGGCACTTTATTTGTGTTACGCTCCCAGTTTGTACTTTACTTGTGTTTTACTTGGGTTTTACTACGAGTAGCTCGCGGAACAGACCTAGTATATGCCTTTTCAACCCGACTTATTAAAAGCCACATATACGTTTAAAACATATATAAAATTCTACAATTAATCCTTAAGACTATTTTATACCCTTAATAATACTCTGCTTTTAATTAAAATTTATTAAATTCATTTACCCATTAAATTAAAAATATTCATCAGCATTTTTATTTTTAATCATATAATCAAATTTTTAATAAATAGCTGCTTTTTATTTCATAATATAAATCTGGTATTTTATATAAAAAAAATGGGTGGTTACTCCATTAACTTACATTTTTATATATTCATTATAAAATTTCAAAATTAAACAAAATTTTAAAACATTTTAAGGTAAGTAATTTAGCTGAAAACATGAAAATTTATAATTTTAGGATATTTTTACAAAATTTAATAAATTTATAAACATTTTTATTTATGCAAAAACCACTTAAGAAATTATTTAATAAGTGTTACATTAAATTAATAAGCGCCCTTGAATTGCATCATATAACTTTCCGTCTTTATGCACTTGAATTGAATAGGAGCTGCGGTCGATTCAAATCGAAGACGATGAAATGGAAATGTCCGACGATGAGCGGGATAATCAATCGGGACACACCAAGAGAACGCGCTATGACAGTGAGGGTCTTAAGGTGAGTTAACTTATTTTTAACAAATTTTTAGCTCACTCTAAAAATTTCTTACCTTTTAGGACGAAAATGATTCTTTACGTTGTCAATTGGAAGCAATACGCAATGAAATGTCCTTAGAGAGAACAGATATAAAGTACGATAGTGACTTCCGTGAAAAGCAGATTAAAGTGCTGCAGGAAACTATTAGAAATATGCAAACGCAGTTATTGCAAACGAAATTGCGTGAACAGAAGGACTTGAAGACAATTGAACACTTGGAACGGAAGCTAAAACAAGCGGCTGTTAAGCAATTATTGTTAAAAACTAAAATACGTGAAACTGAAGTAAAATCTAAAGACAAAGATAAGGAAAAAGACATGGGAACTCCTTCAATCTCGGATACTAGTGAGATTTTATGTGACGAACATGAGCTGCCAGACTGTGATGAAGTTGATGATTTTGTAGAAATTGAAACAAGTTTAATTGAAAAACCAAAAGAACCCAATTATGAAGCAAACATAATCGATATAGATTTATGTAAAAGCGATGAAGATATACGTATTGTGGAGGACCAAGGTGATGTAGTAGAAATCCATGAAATAGATGACGATGATAAACAAAATCAAATTAGTGAAAGTAGAAATTCTATAACCAAAAAGGATTTAAACGTAAAACAAAATTCAAATTCTGAAGATAAAATAACTTCAGAGACATGTAAAAAGGTGGATACAACAAATGAAGTAGCCAAACTGAATGTCGTAAGATTTATAATTATTTGAAATACTTTTAAAAATTATTTAAACATGTTATGTTATTTCTATGTAGTGTACAGCACTTGAACTTACTGAAGCAAAAATAATAGCTCTAACTACCGCTTATTTGGTGGTACAACCCTTCGGTATGAAGAGTGACGCAATTTGCGCATACGTTGTTAAAATGATGAAATCCACTCCATTGGAAACAAAACTGCTCAATAATATTCTGCAGAAATATAATAATCTTTTTAAAGCAGACGAAATAACAGCAGATAGCAGCTTAAATATACATTGGAGATTTTGTGGGTTTTTGGAAGCGGATCAAAATTGAAGTGTACATTTAAGAATGCCATTTAATAATATCCCATTAAGTTTATACATGACAAATTTATATGTTATAAAATGATGTGAAAAGCTTATATAAAATACTCATCCTCAGAATTCTTTTTAAAATAAGCTGGAAAGTATAGAATAATGTATTATAGATTTTACTAAAATTGAAATTTTAAATTAAGTGAAATAATTGTAATAGTTAAACAAAAATAAATATTTTTATTATGAATTACAAATTACAAAAATTTATAGAATTATTTCATAAATATTTAACATTTAAATTTAGTTAATATCTTTTAATATATGTTTTAATCTATTATTTGACCAAAAATAGCTGTATAATTAAAATAAAAAATGAGTTACAAAAGACAAAATCTCAAATAACTTTTATTATTTTAGAAACTTTAAATATATATTAGAAATAAAAATTAGTTATTAACAAAATAAGTTTGTCGTTCATTAATATTTCTTTTAAAAATTACGTTACTGGATGAATGTTTAATATAATTAAATTTGTAAGATTCAAAATTTGAAGAATTCCAAAAGGCCGATTCTAAGATAAATTTCACATATACTGTGTATGAGTCCATTGTTACCCTAAGGGTTTTGAGTTAAGATGGCATGATTTATTAATTATGTTTGTAGGCATTAGCACAATTGCCAATATTAGTTCCAGATATATCTCTTATTCGGATAGTTTTCTCAGTCTAATATCTTAATGTTTTCAAAGTCTGACTCATGTTGTTACTGTGTGCAATTAATAACGGAGCGCTCGGTACTACCAACTGGCGTCAGAAAGCAACTAATCGTGCGGTCAAGGACGTCTCACGTCTGTAATGGCTACCTAAGTAATAACGATTGCTGTTGTTGTTTTCATACCATTTTTATTTTTTATATTATTACTAAACTACTTGACAGGTATTTCTGTTCCATTCATTAATGCTTGGGTTTTACCAAAACAACAGTAGTATGGTAGCAAACTACTGACTGACTCCAAATTTCAAAATTCCATAGTCCAACTGTTCATTTCACTATTATTCACATAAATTATATTTTTGAAGTTAATATAAATCTTGTTGTCAACAACAATTCCTAATAATAGGTGCTAATACAACAGACCATAACATTATTTTCAATGAAAAATGTTTTATCTATGTTTTCATATATCTTATTAAGTATGTTATTTTATATTTGCGATGTTTTAATGATATCTTAACAGCATAGTGGCAATTAAGTAACTTCCATTATGATTGTCCTTAAAAATTCCTCAAATCCTTTTGCTCTGGAAATGCTATCATGTATTGTGACAAAGTATTTAATAAATAGAAGGATTTGTAATGTAATTCGCAAATAATATGTGGCCCATTACGGATCTTACTAGTAGACGAAATTCGCCATACATATGTTAGTACAGGTTTTCCTTAGAAAATTCTATTTTTATTTCTTGATTTGAACAAATACCTATATTTTAAAAAGATTTTAAAAATATTGTACATAATATGTTCCCATTACAAAAAAACAAACAAAACGTTTTTTACCTGATTTATTGTCAACATATGAGAACTAAACGATATAAGTTTTATCCATCTACGCCCTCTTAACAATATAAGTTATATCCATATTCGTTAAAAGGTTAAACCTGATAACATTTCAATGTTGAAGTAAAGTATTTTTTGTATTTCCTTATAAATGGAAGAATGTGGGAAAGTGATTTTTTCATTAAAGAAAGCAAAAATATACTTGAAGGTTATGTACTATTAATTGAGACTTGTGTAGACTTAAAAAAGTCTACACAACAAAAACTTTCAGTCATCACTAACTCAGGAACTACTTATCCAAAAAGTATTACGTGTATCACGTGCTCGTGTACTAGTTATACGAGTATTTTATTCTAAATGCCATAAATTACATTTAAAAATTTATATGTAACATAAATTGTGAATACTAAAAGTGATGTTAAATTACTTGCCAAAATCTTTCTTTTGCTTTTCTATACATATACAACCAATCAGAGTTCATATATACGAATTTTTCATCTGCAGAATTCAACAAGTGTAGCAAGCATCAAATTAAATGCATCAAAATTAATTCTTAAAAATTACTCAAATATGGTATAGATCAGGGCTGTCCAAAGCACGGCTCACGGGCCTCATGCGACCCGCGGCTAATCTTTGTGTGACCCGCGACATGTTTCTAATCTACCACAATTAGATAAATTTTTCTTTGTTATATTTTGGTAACTACATTATTTTATTTTAATGATATCCCAAATAAATTAATTAAAATGTTTTAAATTATTTATTACACTTCATGTTAATTTATTTAATTGGTAAAGACTTTGGTATATATTGCTTTGTGCAAATCGTTCAAAAAACTCATATGGCAACAACTAATATTAATAATGTTGATATTGACAGAATTATAAAAGATAAATGAATGAAGAATTATTAAAACTAAATTTAACATTATCACCGTATTTTTATTTTTCTCCGGCAAATTTCTTTAATCTATTCAGTGATTTGAATTAGCCCGCGATCTTATCTGGTCTGAACAGTCCTGATGTAGACTATAGTACAATACTGTCATTTCTAAAGATTTGCACGCAACCCTCTTATATTTCTTAATTGGTTTCATTAATTTAAAAATGTGGAATATATAAATAATAACATGGATTTCTTTAAAAATCGCACCCATCAATCAAATATTATATAGGTATTAGCATACATTTCATAAATTCATTTGAGTACCAATTTAATGAAAGATATATTCGTAATTACGATATTAATATACAAATATACTCGACATTAATGTCAAGCTCTTTTGTTATTTCAAAAATGCATTTTGTATGCTACATTAGGGTGCCATTAAGGTATATGGGCAATTTTTTTTTCGTAAAATCGGTTGACGGCACCCCCCAGATCGGTTCATTTTACTAAAAAAATAATCTGTGTGAAATTTTAGTTCAATTGGATAAGTGGAAATGGTGCCCCAAGAGCCTCAAAGATTGGAAAATAACGATTTTTTCCATAAAATTCATCTTTGATTGCTTATATCTCCGACATATTTAATTTTACATAAAAACTGTCTTCCTAAAAGTTATAGATCTATTAAAAATAAACAATTCACTAATACAAAGTTTTTCTGTATTTCTAATAGTTATTGAATAAAACAAAAAATAAATTGAAGTCACAAATACTAATTCTAGGTTTGTCCGACATAATTTTTATTATTTTAGTTAAAGTTGCTGGAGCAAAGTATCCTTATTACAACTTAATTGTTAACAATTTTAATATGTACTGTTTTCGATTCCCCTTTTTTGTTAAAATTGAATTATAGTCCAGCATTAGTTTCACTCCTCGCTATGTCGTATCATTTACTACTTTCAAGCTTAAAAGCTTTCAAAATGGCTTTAAAGCCATTTTGTGGGGCATATTTTCAAGAAGCCATCGCACAACTTGAAACGATTAAAAATGTTTTTAGTATTTTTGTATACAAACTGTTCAATTCCCTTTTCGACGATTTCAGTTATTTTTGCGGGATCTATTGATACTCTCCTGACTTCCTTGTCATCACTATCTATATTCAAATTTGAAACCATATTTTTCTTTGTCTCAGGTGATATATTTAAATCCAAAAAAGCAAAATGAACAAGCTTTGAGCTTAAATACCAAATATAATTTTTTGATATTGACTGAGAATAGAAAGAAGATTAAAATCTTGAAAATGAGCTTTGACTGATGACAAAGTATTAAACCATACTTCAACATATACTTTAGTAATAAATATACATATACCACAAAAAGCATTTTCTTCTTCTGTAGATATTTTGAACTCTTTCCTTAATAAAAATATTTTTAATACATGCATGGCTTTCGCCATCCATCTTGCATGATGTATAGTTCCAGGAGGTCGAAACTTTATTATACAGTTCGGCTTTTCTCCTAAAAACATTAATGCAAGTTCCAGACGTTCCCTATAATCATCTCTTGGTTGGTTATCCTTACGAATCTTATAAAAGAAACGAATATTTAAAGAAGACATCTTGGTAACACTTTTTAATGTAATCACTTTGAATTAATCAATACGATAAAATATTATAAAATTCACTTCGCATTCCAATGAATACAGAAACTCACTTATGTATATAACTATACAAGTATTGGACTTATTTTGTAGCAAATTTAGTAGACATTTCATTCATTGAACTCATTATTCAATAACTATTAGAAATACAGAAAAACTTTGTATTAGTGAATTGTTTATTTTTAATAGAACTATAACTTTTAGGAAGACAGTTTTTATGTAAAATTAAATATGTCGGAGATATAAGCAATCAAAGATGAATTTTATGGAAAAAATCGTTATTTTCCAATCTTTGGGGCACCATTTCCACTTATCCAATTGAACTAAAATTTTACACAGATTATTTTTTTAGTAAAATGAACCGATCTGGGGGGTGCCGCGGGCAATTTTCCGACTTTCGAAAATTAATGGCACCCTAATGCTACATTCTTTATTTTCAGAGAACATTTTTGGTATATTTCTTATTTACCAGTAGTTTATCGTTCGTTATATTAGGTATTCTTTAAGCTCAGAGTCTACTGTGCTTTAAAAATAATCAATACAATTATTTATTGTATTATATAGGCCGTGTCCGAGTTCGAGTAAATTGATGGTAAATTGAAGGAAATAGTAAAGTATGTCGGTATGGCAGCAAATGTTGGTATTTACTAGAATTTCGAGTAGAGTAAATTAGATAAAAATTAGGTAAATTAAGTGTTACCATTGTGAAAATTTTATAAAATTTTTAAAGAGGTTTTTTTCGAAAAGTAGGGAAATACAACAACAAAAATTTTAGTTCTTATACTATTTTAATTAATTGAATTTTTGGCTGACCATACAGCTGATTCGAATATTGCCAAATACCCATCATCAGTGGTCTTAGAAATAATTCTTGTATTTAATTATTCGTAAATAATTATTTTTGAGACTGCAAGTACCAGGACTCGAACTCGGGTCCTGCCAAATGTGAAGCTCAGAATAAGCGTACCTTAACCAATTGATCCAAAATTTTTAATAAATAAATAAATAAATTTGAAAACTTTTTACAGAAAAATAATAAGTGCAATGTATAAATAAATACATATTTATATAA